AGTTATCCGCTCTTTGAACAACCGGGACCTGAACTGCAATTTTGGTCAAAAAGTTCAAGCACCAGGCTATAGAGTTTGGAAAACACTTGTTGTGAATGATTTGGAGGGTTTGAAAAATATTTTGTGGCCTTGCTACTACGTTCCCTCTGTTATAGGTTAATATTATCGGTTAATTTTAAAGAGTGCTTTATTGAATAAAAATGAGACCAAAACAGCCAATATAAATCAAAGGTTGTTAAACTAGTTGTGAATCCTAAGAACACAGTTCAAGTGTATACTTGCCTTCTGGATGCCACTTTCTAACAGGATTTTTCCACTCAATCCTCGAACGTACATGCCAACTAATAACGCCGCCTTGGTACAAGGAGGGGTGGTTGGCGGACCTTTCTAGATTTTTCACTTTATCCACTATAATACTACATTTTAAAATTACAGTAACTATTGAACTTGGTAGGAACGTAGAAAATAAGACAGAAAATAAATTGTAGGTGTTCTTTACTCCCCTTTGAAACTTAAAGGTTTTAGTCATTTAGTTGTTCATATCAAGGCTTAAACAACATTTCACTTATCACTTCATATCCTTTATGTGTATAAGCAAATTTTCAATAAAATTACAGTCAATGTGTCTCAAAGACAAACGAAAACCTACTAAAATGAAGCGACGTTCTTCTTAATGAAATTAAGGAGGGGCTGGCATCGCCCCCAGTTGTAATTACAGTGCAAAGAAAAAATTGTTTCAGGAGGTGTGACTGATTATAATCAAACAGGAGCCCATGAGTAGATCTAATGAATCCGCAACACGACATAACGGGCATTAAAAATATTGAAAAGTGGCTGTAACTTACTCTTTGTTTGGTAAGCACTCCTCTCTTAAAATGGATTGTTTCTTATGCTTCCTCGGTTCAAATAACTTCGTAATTCGTAATTTTTGTCCTTTTTAGGCCGCATGTGTTTCTATGACCTCGATAGATTTCGTATTGTGTTTTTACTTTTTTAAAAATTTAATATTTAAATTAAAATTAATGTTACTAGCATTCTTCTTATAAGTTGTTTGAAGTAATACGCATTCCATTTTTTCAATCTGAGGCTCAAGGCAAATCCATCCCCAATATCCCCTCCCCTTCCCCCACCGCGCTCAAGTTTTCAGTTTAATGAATTTCTCCCATTATTAAAGTCCTGATCAAATGCGTTGGACAATATACTTTTAAATATTCTTATCCTGTTTTACAGTCAGTAAAGAATCTTCAAGGGATCGGTGGAATCATGTTATGGGACGTGTCGTGGGACCAAAACAACGTCATTAATGGTCAGCGGTATTCAGAGTATGCTTTCAAAGAACTCGGAGACGTAACAGTACCTCCAACTCAGGCCCCTCCTCCACCGGTTACCACCCAGGCTCCTCCTCCGCCAGTCACCACTGAAGCACCTCTTCCGCAAGTTACAACCCAAGTCCCTCGTCCAACAACAACACCTGGTAAGCAGAAAATTGCTTCACAGGAACACAAGTGTTCGCAAGCAACGTTCTCCCAGTGTCATTGCACTCTTAGCTCAGTTGGGCAGAGCTCAGCACCTTGTTACAGTTCTTTTTTTTTTTCAGCTTCTTATTCCAATTAACTAATTTACTTCCATAACATAACTGCAATAATTATAGGAGAATTGTACGATGACATCATTTGACCACAATGGGGTCTTTGTGGGTGTCACTAGGTACAAAATCGTCATGCTGGGATACAAGGAACGTTTTATGGGCTAGATGGCAACAGGAAACTAAGAAAATCCTGAACAGTTACTCTCAATACAAGGCCAATTCCAGAAGGTTTTGAATTCTCCATTTTTAACAGGGCAGGTCAACCAGAAGCGGAGATTTCAAATACGTCTGGGACCCAAAGGACACTTTCCATTTCTTACTGTTAACTTTGCCTACAATGATTTTGCTTTGAAGTTATCGATAATTTAATTTGCTCCTGAATCTCCACCGATGTGAATCGAAGGACGTCAACTTAACTGCATTTGCGTGCTTACAGTTAATCCTTTCAAATAAGTGCAGACATATAATCCAAACAGAGCTTGACTGGGGTGAAAACCCCAACTGCCAGAAGGCAATCAGTTAGGTATTTAGCATGGCTGAGGAGTTGAACTAGGGATTGCCGAGAACAAATTCCTCACTCCAGAAATTGTTAAGCGAATGGGTACAAGCTTTCGGTGCAACGATTTTGGAGATCGTTTAAGTGGACAAGCCTTAGTTATGATTGGTTAATGATTACCTTGAATACCATTGACCAATCACAACTAACGGTTGTCCACACAAACGATCCCAAAAATGCTTGTACCCATTCCCCTTATGCTTTCTGGAGTAGGGAATTTCTTAAGTGGCCAGGGTGGGACTCCAAACCCATTGCCTCTTGATTACGGATTGCTTAAGTCCAACGCGCTGACAGGCACTCGGTCACGCTCCCAGGCCTATCTCATATCATCTTCTTTAATTTTCTAGGCTCATTCTCTTGTGCATCCTCTGGAGACGGACTTTACCCTCATCCCTCTGATTGCTCCAAGTTCATACAGTGTCATGGAGGTCAGGAATCCCAGATCAGCTGTCCGTCCGGACTTCTGTTTAACCCAAAAATCAAGGCTTGCGATTGGCCAGCGAATGTGCAGTGTGCATGATCTATTTGCTTAAACAGCAAATCGAATAGCAAGGATAGAGAAAAAGTGGATTTGTCAAAGTGAATAAAAACAAATGCATTATCAGACAAGTGTCCAATGTCTTTTTTGGTCGGCTGTTACATATTTCCCCTCACCACCAGTCTGTGGGTCGCTTAAACCAATTTTTATCGCATTATAGATAATCACTGGTAATAATTGTTGACCGTATTTCATACTTCACGAAGGCCGTAAAAACTTAAATGTATTGACTGTTTTGTTACAGAACTCATCTTCTCTCCATTCTTTTTTTAAAGAAATAGCATTAGCTTTAATTTGAAGAAAACACTAGCAATACATTGTTGATACGTTTTAAGATTAGTGGACCACTGATAGTATTTTTTCCTTCTCTACTTACGTAAAATTAGCTTGGGAATAATTTGTAACAGAACAAGAAATGAACAAATCAAATTAAACACGACACGCAGTGTTTTATCCGATACTAGAACCTGAAAGGGGTTTGAAAAAAAAGAGGAGCAGCCTAATATTTTGACGCCGAATTCCAGGTTCGTGATGTCAGATAAAACACTGAGTGGGGTGTCACATACAGCTTGTGGAATAGACAAGAATTATTTGAGAAACTCAAAGCTAAATTTCGCAAAATTTCGCGGCAATCGGATTCCGATATTCAAAGCTGGCACAAAATTACCATTTTTCGAGCGCTATAAATTCTAATGGCACCATTTTAAATGGTTATTGGTTATTGCACGAGAGAGCGGCGAGCTGCCAAAACGCGAGACGCGAAGAGGGAAAGCGGGAAGCCCTTTTCGCCCACTCCCTTTTCGTGTTCTCAGTCATAAGAAAAAAGAAGGAATGCTCTTATTTGGATCAACATCCAATTTGGTTCGGCCACATGTACAGAGCTGGCAACAAGAAGACAACTTCCAGTGTGAATAATGAGGATCGAAGCCACTAACCATTAGTGAGGATAGAAGTGTGCTTGTCATTGTCACGGACAGAGTGTTGCTATATAATCTGCTTGGGGCAGTAAGCAGCAAAGGATCCATATGTATGTCATGTAGCGTCCGATAAACGGTAAACCAGTATTAGCATTAGTATTAAATGACTGTATATATTAGAGTTGCGCAATATTGTATACAAATTAAGTACACAACTGGCTTGTTTCAAATGGCATGAAACTCGTCCCTCTCATGTTTTCTAGTGTTTTTGTACATAATAGAAGACAATGAACCATTTCACTATAGTTGACAAGATGTTTACAGCACCATCAGAGTCATTTATTCAAATATGTAGTTTGCTGTCACTTCTCTAACATATGGTCGTATGAACTCTCAAAACATCTGACACCGAGTCAAACATCCCAGACATTGTTTATACAGGTGAAGCAACTGAAAAAGTGAATGGCCTGAAGGTTTTTACTGGCGCACGCAGCTGTATCTTTAACCCCAGGGGCATGGTTTTGACTTAGCCAACCTGTAAGGTTGCAAAAAGAACATTTACTCGAACCGTGTAATCATGAATTCGGTCTCTCTGTGCATCTTTGTGGGGTTTCTCTATGTATGCAGCCAGGTTTGGTCGTTGAGATGTAATGTCTGTGTCATATAGATATAGTCGGCTAAGTTTCATGATCCACGGGCGAAGTACAAGAAAGACTTCTATGGAGTCCACTTTGAGTTCTCCCAAAGAACGAAAAAAGACCCGGGCAAGAAGGATTAACTCAAACTGTTCCTTAAAAACACTTTGAAGCCATCTCTCGGAACTGGTTAACAGCCAGGTGAGGACACCCTGAAAGGTTTCTTAGGGAGGACTCACAATTCGAATGAAATCAAAACTGATTAATTTCTGACCAAGAAGTGTTCTATGGACTAGTTTTACATTAAGAGGCTATCTTGTATGCTCGCGTAACTTGATAAGTTCTCAGCTTGTCTTAGGAGCCACCCGAAAAAACTGCCATCTTTGAAAATTCTGTCTACATGGCAAGTCTAACTATCCTGAGAAAACAGCCGACATTTCGCGACGCCAGCAACAGTTTCCCCGCGAAATGACGTCTGAGGAACGAACGCAGAAATTCCATACTGATGACGTGTCACTACCCAGATCTGGTTAGTGTTTCTAACTGGTTGAAACAATTTTCCCAAGCGGTACGACTAATCAGAAGCACTACCCAGATCTGGGTAGTGACGCGTCATCAGTATCGAATTTCTGCGCTCGTTTCTTAGACGTCGTTTCGCTGGGAAACCGTTGGTGGCGTCGCAAAATGTGACAATTTGAAGAAATTTGAAACACGTGCTTTTTACTCATTTTTTACTGGCCTGATAGAACCACGCTCAACCTATGCGGGCCGCCAGCTGTTGGTGGGTTACTGGGGCCAAAACGGAGCTGGACCTGCAAATGGCCGGCCAAACTGGGAGAAACCGCTGTCAGAAGTCTGTCAGACAACAAAGTACGACATCCTTGCCTGTATCCTTCGTCATAGTATTCTTTGATCCAAGGAACAAAGGTATCTCGAATGTATGACATCTTACTGATGTCTGAAAGTAATTTTATTAGGGTCACCGAGAATCACCAAGAATCACTGAGAAGTGTAATGTGTATGGACTTTCAACCTAACTGGTCCCGGTAGCTCAATCGAGGAGCGCCGGTCTGCTAAGAAGAAGGTGACAGGTTCAAGCCTCGTGGCGGATAACCAATCAAGGCTTCAAAAACGTCATAATATCATGTTTCAGAAACACTTGTTTGAGAAACAAAATCTGTGAAATCATTTTTTTTTCGGACGTTTTATCATCCGTTTTCTGACATAAACAAAACTTTGGGGCTGATCTATGTCAAGTAATCGGAAGAAAGGAATCCGACTTTTTTTTCATCAGGCGTCTCTACAGATCGAACAATAGACAAAAGCGAAACGGACATCATGCCGCAGATACAAGGCTACTTGATTGTTCTTTTTTGTCCTTAAGAATGCCTGCACTTAACTTTGCCTACCACTGCGAGACTCCAGTTTCGGCAGAGTATCCATTTCTACTTCGATGCCCTAAAATAGAGGAAGGAATAAAGGAATGTCAGAGGCGAGGAAAGAAAGTTATTATGTCCATTGGAGGAGCCACGGGAGACGGAACTCTACCCGATCCTGATAAGGCCAGAGAGTTTGCAAGAACGCTGTTCAGGTTGTTTCTTGGGGGCAGCGGAAATGAAACAATACGACCATTTGGAAAGTATGATTCACAACGAATTTTTCAATAAACCTGTAAACTGGAAACCCTTTAGTTCAGCATAGCGAAACCTAAAATTCTCTAAACGGGCTATTGATTGAAAAAAAATACACGCTAGATCCACAGCTATGTTGTTGGTGTCATTTTCTCCTTCTTGAATGTTTCACGTAATGTTATTTGGTTTCTTTTCGTTACTGAATTATAGCGCAATAATGGACGGTATTGACATGGATATTGAAGGCGGCACAGGCGACAAATATCCTGTATTTATCAAAGAGTTACGAAAACTTATGGACAACGATCCAAAAATAAACTATCTGATCTCTGGTGCGCCGCAGTGCCCATACCCTGATCATTATCTTGGACCAGAAAGACCCGGATCTGGTAATCGTGCAGTGTTCCTTTTTGTATTTTGAAAGCATAAGACTGAAAATACTCAATTACTTTGGCCTTGACAACAACCGGATGCAATTATAAAGATTTGAAAAACAATAGCCCTTACTCATTGTGACCGCTGTAGTCATTTCACTGTAGTTGTGAGAGAACTTCTCATGAGATCGATTTGAAGAAAGTTCTCATCTTCATTTCGGTTTATCCCAGAGTTTATATCTGTGAATTATATTTATGAAATGATGAAAATATGAATTTCATGTAATTTTTCATCCCTCAGTTCATATATTAAATTCATCATCATTCCCAGGTATATTACGAACCAATTTAATGACCACCTAACAGTTGTCTTGCCAACTCAATTGGTTAGAGCGCCCCATAGGTCAGTGATAGGTATCGCAGAGATCAAGGTATCAGGGATCGAATCCCGACAAAACTGAAGTTTTTCAAGATTTTTTTTAACTATGAAGATCTTCTATGCATTTAATTACATCAATATCACGCCTTTTTCAACAATTCCTTTTCGGAGCATAAACTTTGTCCTTAAAGCCCTTGATAGCACCTTAAAGTTTCTTGTCGTGTATTTTATAACTCGTCTTTCTCAATTGTCATTTTCAAGTTTGGAAGATGCTGGTCCGTGGTGGATAACCTCTATATACAGTTCTACAACAACTACTGCCACACAGGCGCAGGAAGATGGTTTATTAATACTTTGAATCAATGGTTAGCGTTCTCCAAAAGAATGAAACCAAAAGGTCCACTGATTTTTATCGGTCTCCCGCAGGCTACCAGAGCATCAAGTGGTGCGCAATATAGCAGGCCTCCTGCTGAATTGACTGCAATGTATCAGGTAGGTCAGTACAGGACGTCAAAAACCAAAGCAGGAACTAAGCACTTGTCTATTACAATGCGTTAATACACTTTCTAAAGTTAATAAGCGATGCAGAACCCCAAACTCTTAAATATTCTTATCCTGTTTTACGGTCAGTAAAGAATCTTCAAGGGATCGGTGGAATCATGTTATGGGACGTTTCCTGGGACCAAAACAATGTAATAAATGGTCAGCGGTACTCAGACTATGCCTTTAAAGAGCTTGGAGGCGTAACAGAGCCTCCAACGGTTACCATCCAGGTCCCACCTCCGCCATACACCACTCCCCCCCCCTCCGCCAATCACAACTCACGATCCTTGTCAGCCAGTAACTACAGAAGCCCCTCCCCGACCAATGACAACACAAGGCCCTCCTACGCCACCTCCACCAGGCACTACTAACGCCCCACTACCGACAGGTAAGTTCTTTTAGAGTATTTTTCAAACTATTTACGAAAAATCTGTGATAATCGTGATCAAAATTCAGAAAGAAACACACTCGACACCCAACTTCTAACTCAGTATGGTAAGTACCTTGGGTGGAAAAATTAAAGGCGAATCCGCTTTTCGAGGCCAATAAGCTATTTAATGTTTGCCTTGTTTGCATCCAAAATCAAAGTTTCAATAATTTTGAGGACGATGCAATGAAACTGTCAGTTAACGAAGCAAAACTGGCCGGTTTGTGAGCTGGGAAACGAACTGTGCTAGTATTTAACAGGATTTGATTTCAAAATTTACCTTCGGATGCGAAAAGTGGCCAGGCCTTTCGAGAAACGGGCCCCAGTAGAGGTTTATCCCATCTCGTGTGGACTAAATAGCGGACACGCAATTAGACCACTGTTTGAGAAGCATTTTTTTGTCAATATAAGTAGGTCTCTTACCACTTAAGCATTTAAAAAAAAGTATTAACCCCTGCTGTAAGCGCACACAATATGACGATTTCATGCTAACAGTAGAAAACAGCTCGTCGCGTGACATTGACTTGTTGTGCCCGATTAATGTACTCAAAATATGAGAGTTGCCATCTTCGAGACGGTTGTGTTGGCCGGTACCTATGCCTACAAATAAAGGGCTGCAGTATTCTAGATGAGGGAGTATAAATGCTTTATAAAGCTTTGTCATTGCATCATGGGGAAAAAACGCCTTATTATTCTCAGCGCGGAGGCCTTCGCGTAGGCTTACTTTAGTTGATCGGATAGGTGTTCTTTATAGGATAGATCGTTGTCTGGAGTAACTCCAAGAATCGTTCAAGATTAAAATACACCCAGATATTTAACATAATCTTTACATTCAAGTGGAGTATATCCATTTGTACTATTATCAGTCACCATTAAAGTAATGTGATAATTGAGTTTGTTCTGACAGGGGCGAAAAATAAGGTAATTTGACTTTTTTACATTTATTTGCATCCAACCATTGACAAAATAATTTAGGTTCTCTGTTAATGTCGTCTCTAGGACTTTAAGTTTTTATCAGCAAAAAGCATATTCGTACCGTCAGCAAATAAATAAAAGTCAAATTTTTTTTTAAGAATTGAAAATATCGTTTACGTATATTAAGAACAGTAGAGGGCCTTATACAGAGCCCTGGGAAACTCCATATGGGACTATTTGTTTTCTGAATACGCATGAATCTACTTCAATAGCTTGAGTACGCCCGGATAAGTAAGACGAAAACCAGTCATTGATAATTCCTCGAATTCCATAATGGTATAATTTATTTAATAAAACTGAGTGGTCTACCGTATCAAAAGCTTTTTTTAGATCCATAAGAATTCCACACGTAAATATTAACTTGTCCATGTTGCTTTGTATAGTATTTAGAATATCAAGAATGACGTGATGTGTGGAATGTTTATCACGAAAATCTTTGAGACGTTTAAACATCGCTTTCGCAAATGTACGATTAAAATTAGATAAAAGAGAAATTGGTCTATAGTTCCCAGCATCAGTTTCATCATCACATTTATAAACGGAATGACTTTAGCGTGCTTTAGCTATGGAATTTCTGTCGCTGAGTCACCGACGTTACCCCTGGCGAAATGTCCCTGGCGGCGAGGAGCTAAAGGAAACGGCTGCGTTCGCAGGCTACTGAATTTCATACATCCCTTCGAGTCGCATACTCCCGAAAGGGACTTCTGAATCAACGAGCCGCTAATGCCGTCCAGTGACGTCATTACTCCGCCAAAACTGGCAAACAAAGAAATATCGTGTCCTGAACTGTACAGAATTGCTTTACTCTTGGATCGTAATTCATGTTAAACGTTCAAATATTTTGTTTAGTAGCGCCATAATTCAATAATCAAACTCGATTGCGGTCACTCAAGGATGAAATACACACCGGACATTTCAAAACTACAACAATTTGATTTAATTCAAAAGAAGCTATTTGGTCCTTAACGAAGAAGAAAGAAAACAAGAGAGAAGAGCTAACAGAATCATTACACTTCACTGTCGGAAATGACAGGAAATTCGCAAATTTGCTATTTCAACACAATCTTGTTATTAATCTCACAAAAATCGATCACTGATGCTTCGCACTAATGAAATCGCTGCCGAAGCCAAAAAGCGGCTCTATCTAAATGAAAACCTACCGTCTTTCCTCATTGATTTTCTATTCGTAATTCAATTTAACAGTCAGAACGTGATTCAATTTAACAGTCATAGTTTGCTGTTTACAATAAAGATTGTCGAAATTTTGAACTCCACACAAGCATACAATCTGCTGTGTATCGTAATTATACACAATTATGTGCATATTTGGACAATCAACCAATCATAATCCCCACCCGGTTTTCGGGTAATGGTGTGACTGGACGGCATTAACGGCTCGTCGATTCAGATGTCCCTTTCGGGAGTATGCCACTCGAAAGGGTACGTGAAATTCAGTCTAACAAGTTCGATAAAAGCTACGAGACAACGCGAAATTTTCAAAACAAAACACATCTTCAGTAACATGATATTTGGAAGGTAAAGTCAACAAACGTTAAAATACGACAGCCTGAATTTTCTAAACACTAGCAAACAATTTTCTAAACAATTTTCTACACGAGTTCCCAATAGTTTGCTTTGATTAAATTCCAAAAATTGTGCAGAGAACGTCGGCTCATGAAAGTAAACAGAAGGAGCAGAAAAGAGCGTTTACCAGAAACGGAGGGCCAAAAACAGCCAAAATAAAAATAAAATTCAAGCGCAGCTAACTAAATCTGACTTCATCAAAATTAACTTTGCTCCCATTGTCGTAATTAAATCGAATAATGAAATAATCTGTTCATTTTGTCCTTCAGCAGCATGGTTTAAAATAAAAATATTGTTCTAAAGAGGCTTAACTACTGATTAAAAAATATAATTATATACAAAATAGGTGTAAGGTAAAATGTGTAAAAGAGTAAAAATCATGTGCGGTATGTACGTGTGAAAGGCATGGAAATAAAAAATTAAAATAAAATACAACGGTCTAAAGATCGAGTGTCTCTTGACAAAGGGTCTCTTAAAATCCATAAAAATAGTCATACCGTTGATTCTCCAAAGCTTGGATTGTAATTTTATTTTTTTAATCAGCATTTTAAGGCCTCATTAGAACGGACATTTTTATTTTTTACGAATATTAAAATTTAAAAAAAAGAATAAAAGAATAAAAAAATTAAAGAATATTGAAAAGTTGATCGAATTTAGCCGGATCAAATTTGAGTACTCTTGAAGTAGATTAGGGATTGTAAGCATCAGTGTTTTTACAGTCATTTTAATTTGTAATTATCAGTCTAAATAGTCTGCTGATTGATCTTAATTGTCACAAATAATAAAAGGAATTCAGGAAGCATCTTACTGATGAACCTTTATCGCATTCGTAAGAGCAGTAGTTATTTATAGCCAGTCTCGAAAGAATTTTTGTTTTTTAGAAAAATCAGCGAGAGAATGAGAAACGACGCAAAGAAAATGAAAATTATTGCGATAATAAAAATAACTTTTTAAAGAAAAATATCGCTTGTTCTTTTAAAGACGACGAACCTTACCTTTCTTCATTTTTGGCCAAAACATCTGGATCAAGGCAACGTCAGAAACAGGTGATGGAATACTATAACCAGGCAACAATCAGTGTACCAATCAAAAATAGCTATGAAATGGGCTTCACAAATAATAGTTTTCATTAAAAGACTGCAATGTGAAAACAACATTCAAGCGATTACAAATTGTCAGATTTTCAGATTCAGATTACTGGTTTTCAGCCAAGCAATGCTCAAGAACTTCTTGTATTTTACTCTTCTTCTCTTGTTGAACCAGGTTGTAGGAATGGCAACGTTTCAACCGGTCACCATAAACAACCTTGTCTTAGCTGGACGTGTTTATCAGATGCTATACGTTGGCGAATGGCTTATCTGCATTCAGGCTTGTTACGATGATCCAAGATGTACTTCGTACAACTACGGCATATCAGCAGCAGATAATGGACTTTGTGAATTAAATGACTGTGGGTTTCAAGATTGGTGCGAAAGAGATACCAAATACCTTATCTACTTCCCGAATTTTGTATTTCAGGAAATACGAAAGTGCCAGGTATTTCCCTTGTTCTTTCCTGTTTTAAAAGATTAAATTTCTTACCTTAGGGCAAAATTCTGCTTCACCTCAGTTATTACTCTAAAATATAAATCTGTTAATCCTTTATTTTTACCAATCAAGAAAGACTGCGCTCAAGACAACGATTTTGTAAGTTAAAACGTTAACAGTTTTTTTTTTCCGTATCCGATTGAACTCGCCCTCCTTGAAGACTTTCTGGCGGAAGTAGGTTGAACTTCCGTGGGATTTATGCCCTTCTCAGATTATTGGTAGTTTGTAATTTCCAGATCCAAAATTTTTACTTTCCTCTTTCTCGATGGCTTTATATACCGTGAAAGACTTTGTGGTCGTGGACGAAAGTTTGATTTGGTTGGGTAATGATATTGCTGTTGAAATTTTGTCAGGATAGGTAAATAATAATTAATATTTACACCAAAGTTAATAACTCCTGTCGAATAGGCCATTGCGTTGACATTGTATGATAAATTTAAGGAACATATTAAAACTTCAAGGACAGTTTGCTGCCCAGTTTCCAGCCACTTCAGTTTAAAACTGCTATTACTCTCCTTGTACTGTCGCAATTTGTAATAATCATCGCACTTTGTAATACCTGTCACAATTTGTAATAAATCTATCGCACTTCGTAATACCTGTTCCAATTTGTAATAAACCGTGTCGAACTTTGTAATAAAAAAGCTGTCGCAATTTGTTATAACTGTCCATCGCACTTTGTAATAAACCAAGCTGTCGCAATTTGTAATAACTCCATCGCACTTTGTAATAATTTTTGGAGAGTAATTAAACTTACTTCGTCAGTATTAACATAATGCCAAAATACGCATGGTACTTCGTAAACAAAGATGATGACGTCTGCTAGCACGTACGTAACATCTCCGCTCATTCAAATAATTTAACTTTATTCATATTGCTAAACATTTTTTTTCAAATTAATGTTGATTAGTTATCTGGCTTACGAATTGCTGTATTCTTAAACCTTGCTATTGTACTAGGTGGTTTGCATTCAATGGTTACCCGGCGGGGTGTACTTCCTTATATGGCCAATACGGGTATGTGCCTCTGGACAGAGCATTGTCAGAGCACAGAATCTAGAGACGCTAGACACAAACGAGCCATTATTAAAAAGCATTTAATTTCCGCAAATCGTAACACCCATCCTACATCATTCGAATAAGGACACCAGAAAAATTCAAGCTTTTCTTGTTAGATCTTATAACAGGTCGACACAACATGTGGTGCACCGTCCCTGTCTAACGCGCAATCTTAAAGAAGTTAATAGTGGCTTCCATATTTTGGCCAATTTAATCAAACGAGGCCTGGAAAGATTCAAACTTTTCACTGCAAATAAACAAAAAACGTCACCAGTGGCAAACCGTCGAACCACAACAGAAACATAAACACAAAATCCAATTAGTCGCTGACCAATTGCTGGTTTTCAAATGACGTCACTAAAATTCAAACTACAAAACCATCGATCCTACCGAGATTTTGCTTTCACGATATATTAGAGCAGCTCGTGTATTAGAAAAAGTATTACTTTTTAATGTTTATGAGTTCTTCGAAGAATAAATTCACACTTTTGTAGCAAAACTCGGTAACAGATGTTTCTGTCCGCCATGTTGGTGCTCATCCGGATGAGTACCAGCATGGCGTCTCCATACAAATCTCTATAAATTTGGGTAAAACGTTTCTTCGAATATCTCGTATACGAAACATTCCTCTAACCTGAATCTTGGCGAAGGTCTTTGCATATTTACCTCCTTTCATTTCCCAGATTATGGACTTTATCTATTGAACGGTTTTGATTTTTATTTTGATCTATTTTGAACCGCGTGACACTGAAAACCAGCAATACCTTCGGATGTATCTGTTTTTATAAAACTCACTTGAGGTCTTACACTAGGCCGGCTCGCCATTTGTCCATTATTCTCACTTGACTTGATCCCATATCAAGGAACAAAAGGAGTACTCATTCCAACTTAAAACAATTTTTTCTATATGGAGTCCTCTAAAGCAAATACCGTAGGGATAGCAAAAAATTCTCCTTCCCTGCGTATACGTAAGACCTTGCAATTCTTCCGAGCGTGTTCAGGATTACTTTTTTTCCAAAAAATGGAAAGGATGGAATAAACCATCCATTACTACCTGAGTTACCCTATCTAAGGACCAAACCAAAGACACAAGTACAACAAGGTAAAATTTAGAATGATACCCTATTACAGGCTCGAGATCCTCAAAACCATACCCAATCAGGCGGTACTTACCTATCTAGCCGATCCATATATGGGATTATCCCCCCTATTATCTCCGCCCGCCTCGACTAGCACCTGCTATTTGCGGGCGGAAATGGACTTAATGTAAATGTAGATTGTTAATAACATTAAAGTGTGTTTCACTTGTGTGATTTGGACGACGGCTGGCAGGTTATTCATGAATTTTCTGTCGTTAAATGTTGCTTTTGTTATTTAAATATTTTTTTAATTTAAACATGATTCAGAACTTTTTGGTTATATGTCAAAGGAAGTTTCATGTCTTTCTTAAGAGCGATACTAGTTGGTCACGTGATTAGTTAGGGCAGAAAAATTTATAGCGGAAGACATGCATGTTAGACCAAAGAAAATGTTACGGAGATGTCACGTGCTAGCAGACTTCATCATCTTATGAACTACCATGCGTATTTTGGCATTATATTAATGTTGAAAGAGTAAGTTGAATCACTCTCCGAAAATTATTACAAATTGCGACAGCTTAGTTTATTACAAAGTGCCATGGACAGTTATTAACAAATTGTGACAGCTTTTTTATTACAAAGTGTGATACGGTTTATTACAAATTGCGACAGGTATTACAAAGTGTGATGGATCTATTACAAATTGGGACAGGTATTACAAAGTGCGATGATTATTACAAATTGCGACATTACACTCCTTCCCTAGTCGCAGTAGTTCTAAAGTTTGATCCCGAGACTGTCTGTTTAGTCTGTAATATGATGACAAAGATTTATCAGCCGAGTTGTTTTAACCTTTGAATACGTCGTGGAATTAGCATTTCTTAAGAGCTCCTACGTTTCCTCTTATCCAACCGCGACCAATACCACCGTAATTAAATGTAACTTTCGGCAGGCAAGCGGCCTATAGATTCCTCTTGCTCTTGGAAAGTGTGTCTGGCATTCGAGTCCGAATAAAAATCGAAAATAGTTCAACAAAACCTTATAAGTGACTTGATGGGGAGAACTACGCAAGCGGTTGATCAAAAGTGGTAAGCTGCGGCTGTGGAGAGAAAAGATAAGAAAAAACCAGCATAAACGATTTATTTTTGTTTGTTTTTTATCTGGAAAATGTTATTAAATGTTGATTTTTAGCTCTGCTATTGCTTCTACTGAGGCACGCCACTTGGTCCGTCCTGCAGCATTGTTTCATTCGCTACTTTTAGCAGCTGCGTTTTTAGTTTAGAGTCATCAATACACTTTTGTAACGTCATTCTACAGTCACAACAGAGAAATTTTGTATGCGAATTTCCCGGTTTATTAGCCTGCGAGCAGAAAAATTAAAGTTCAAGAAAAATTAATTGGTGTTCAGAGCACGTAATTTCGTCACTTTAAACAGCGACTATTATTGACCTTATTTAAACAGCTATAGGTTTCCTGCGCCTCCTTTTTTGCATTTCAAAGCTTGTGTAATATACCTCCTTAACCAAAAATTTATATGCGGACCTTAAAATTCGAAACTATAGTTTTTTTTAATTGGTTGGATACTGGTACAGGTGGATACTGGGGAACATCGACTACAACACTATCTGGTATTGCCGTTTTGACCCTAAAATTCATACTTTTTTATTGTTGTTGTTTTTATTTATTCATTCATTTAATTATTCATTTATTTATTTTTATGCAAGTGTTGACGTGTTTGATTAAACTGATTTAAGTATTATTTACCATCCTTGCGATTGTCCGTTTCAATCTGGCTTATGTTGCCCAGGGGGGCAATGAATACAATAAACCTTTTAATTATTATTATCATTAATTCTATAACAATATATACTCAAGAGAGAATTCTCTCTTGATATACTAGTATGTAATGCTGAGACATACTCATTTAAAAGCCATGTCCTAAATTTTCGTATGTAAAGGAGTTAAGTTTAGTTTAGGTTTACCTTGTAATTTTTAAATTACAAGACATTTAAAAAATGCCTGAGTACTGAGACACTTCAATGCCTACAAAGATCGCTTTTAGAAGGGTTTCTGTTTGTTCTTATACAAAGGGCATTTGTTAAAACTGAGACAATATATATTTATTCAATTTAACTCTATAAAGCTAGGTTGCTAGGGATGTACCCATAAAATGTCCCTTCCAATTTTGCTCAAACAATATACATGTGTTAACGATATGATAATACAGCATAGGAAATGATTAAAAATACAAAAAATACAAATTTAAACGAAGATATGATCGTCGTAATGGTAACTACAGTAATTGCAAATTAACCCGAAAAGACGTCGGGACTTCAACGGGATTCAAACTCCTGGCCTTTGTGTTAGCACTGCAGTGTTCTAACAACTGAGCTATGAATACCCATACATTGGGAGCAGGCAATGACATTTGCCTAAATTGCTTAAATGTGCAATTACCACTGCGACGATCAAATCTTCATTTTAAATTTGTATTTCCGCAGTGCACATGATCTTCATTCTACGTTTCATTCTTTCACGGGTTAAGATGAACCATCAACAAATTGGACTGCTCCTAATGTAAGGGTCCTCATAGCTCAGTTGGTAGAGCACTGCAGCGCTTACTTAGAGGCCATTTGGCATACGTTCGAATCTCGTTAAGTCCTGAAATTTTGGGGGTTAATTTGCAATTGCTTAAATTGCAATTACCGCTGCAACAATCATATCTTCATTTAAATTTCACTTAAATGTTGTTACCTCTGCCAAGTTTTGGTGTACTTACTTTGTTTCTTACAGAAGCACGATAACCCGCAACATTCCAAGATGGAAGGTAAATAGAAACAAGTTCCTAAAGCTTCTTTAGTAAACGCTCTCTTTCAATCCTCGCCGGGATACCCTCGACGCTCTGGTTTTTTATTGGAGCACTCACTAAATATAATCCATTCAGATCGCGAGTTCAACTCCTTTCCTCGAAACAATCAGCTTTAAACCATGGATGAAAAACCTGGCTTTATTTTTTTTCATCCACGTTTCTAAATTTATCTCAATTATTTTTTCTGAAACGTAGAAAATGAAATTTCAGTTAAAACGGGGCAACATGATTTTTAGTTTTTTAGTTGGAAGATTGCTGCGGGAAATTATAAATCACTAAACAACGAAAACTGTCAGGTTTTCTTTTTATATAATGAAAAAAGACAACAACCAAGATGGAAAAAAAACATTCTCCTTTTCAGGGCCCAATGATTATCCCTTGAATGTTCGACAACTCAACCAGACTACCCAAAGTATTTTCATCACTTGGGACGCCGTAGAAGACAATGAGAAAAATGGGAAGATTTTAAGCTACAAAATTACTTATACGCTTTTTAACGGGAAAAACTCTCCAAGAACCATTAACGTTACTGCACCTATCGTCCACGCCAATTTAACTCAACTGGTATCATACCGAAGGTACAACATAACAGTTCTTGCGTCCAATGAACATGGCGATGGTCCTGGTAGTGACTCTGTCATTGTGAGGACTGATACAAGCAGTAAGTATGGTTAAAACCTTATAATAATAATTGTAATAATATTGATAATATAAAAAAGTGGAAAGGTATCCGAGAAGACGTAGCTCTCGAAATTACTTAACAATAATCCATGGAGCCACAAGAGTGACAGTAATAACCATCGTGATTGGTCCACTTGAAACCATCTCGGAGTATGCAAATGTATAGCATAGAAGGTTGAGTCTGTCTGACATGTTTGGAAGTGCACAGTTGTCAGCCAGATATCCCTGGTACTGCTCACATCTTGCGGAAAGTGTTGCGTATCTAAGCTCCGGGAAGCTGTTGAGACATGGCTGAGAATACTCAACAAATACCAGAGAACTGGAGAGGATCACACAATAATAATTACATTTATAATAATAATAATAATAATAATAATAATAATAATAACAATAATAACTTACTACAAGTAATCAAAATAGTCGCTTGTCCCACGATGTAGAAGTTGTGGTTCATTTTATCCTTGGTTTAAATTTCTATTTTCTTTTGTTTTTGAGTATGGTAATGTATGATAATGGTTTGAAACAAAAGAAAATAAAATTTAAAGCAAGGATAAAATTGAACCACAACATAGACAATTGCGGTGTAGTTAAGACGTATACTACTAGTCTTTACCAGGTTATCAGGTCGACTTATTACGCCTGCGTTACCTTCTAAAGCAAGTTTCGGGGAGTTACTCCCTCGTTAGCCGGCTCTTGTACTCCTCTCCTATCGTTGTGTTTCTTGGGCTTTCGTATTTCTGGAGTTTCTATTCTATAGTCACCTTTTCATGTTGTTAGGGCGAAGTCTTATGACAATAGACTCTTTAGAGTCTAGAACCCAAATTCAACTAGTAAATTTTCTCTATCGTTATTCTTATTCATACAACCCTTTCCACTGAGGTCACCCTGGAGATAGAACTCAATGTTAAACAGCGGTGAATGTATACCGTGGGACATAAAACGGGGCCAAGTTTTAAAGGTTTGAAAAAGGGGCTTTTAACTTGCATTATATCACTCGATCAAAATCTGCCGCTATAAAATTTCCTGTTTGAAAAAATAATTCTCTCTGTGCATTTGTTTGATTTTTACTTTACCGCTTTGAAAATTTATTTCTTGCAACTTTACGAGACTACAATATATTGAAAGCTTAATAGCCCTTGAAAAATAATAATAAAAAAGGAAAGAGACACAGGCAAGCACACGGCCTCTGGTGCTTTAGATACTTTGCGCATGCGCAAGAGCTGTTACGTCCAGAAGTGGCCGTCAAGGACAGTTCTTTGTCCTAATTAGGCTAATTTGTGCTTTCTATCTGAGAACCCATAGCTCCTCCAGCAAATGTTACAGTATTCAACAAAACTTCAACCTGCATCCTGGTCATGTGGAATAAGGTGCCTTATGGTAAAAGGAAGGGTCATATACGGCAATACAAAGTGGAGTATACCGAGGTTGCAAGCAATTATGCACAAATCAGAGAAGTCGGCGACAAAACGCGCCACCTAATGGTTGTCGACTTAAAAAAGAACGCCCATTATACGATCAAAGTATCAGCTGCCACAGTAAAGGGATATGGACCAGCGAGTCAGCCCTTATCAGTCTTAACAGAGCAGGACGGTTAGTATCGAATGTTATTAATATCAAAATTTGAATTACCTTTTACAATTATTTTCCCTTTCCACTCTTTGAAAGGGACAAAGTCTTTGTGAAAATCAATTCAATCTTTATTTCTCATCACCACACTTATGCATTATCATCAATAGACGTAGCCTCCAAAGATATATGTTGTTTCTGAATTTATCTTTGGTTTAATTGTTATTTTCTTTTGTTTTAAACTCTTTATCACACATTACCATACCCCAAAACAAAAAACAAAAGATAATTAAAATTAAACCAAGCATAAAATTGAGCCACAACATACACAAGTGAGGCATCCCCATACTTCCTTCTTCGCCTCCCCATCCCAGCTCTCACCTCAACCTCTCACTCTGTGAATACTTGATCAGATAACAAAGCCAAACAAATGTTGTTCATGTTGTTCAACTGACAGGCATCACATCGTTTTATGTTTATTTTCAATTTTTCGCAATCTAGTACCCAGTGCACCTCCTCAAATTGTTCGGGCAGTGAACAAAACTTCCACCAGCATCCTAATCAGGTGGTGTGAGGTTCCCTTTGGTCAAAAGAATGGTCATATTTTAAGTTACAACGTCACTTACACAATGGTGAATCAAAACGTCACAACAACAAAACAGATTGAAGCTCCAACGCTTCAAGTGAATCTAACTGGACTGAGAGCAAACACAAACTACAGCATCACAGTAATGGCTTCGACTATCACAGGACATGGACCAGCTAGTCCAGCTATTTATGTTAATACTCAAATGGAAGGCTAGTAACGAGTAACGTGCAATATACGAGTGATTCCAAATCTGAGAATTTGTTTGCCATTAAATTGCTCAAATCGACAGGAGTGTCACTATTAGTGAATATAAACATGATTTCAATATACCACAGACCTACCATTCCGAATTTGAGTTGCAGACTGTGTTGTATATGACAACCATTCCACCGACAGTTATTAAAAAGATTTTATAAAAAAAAACAGAGCTTAGTTTTCAAAAGTACATAATAAGATTAAGATTGATAAGAGTTATAAACTTTGATATATGTGCTTTTTGTTGATTTTATGTTTTCAGAAGCAATTTTCTGGTCTAAGAAACTTGAAGTGATTCACTCAGTAAAAATAGAAAATAAACATATTAATGTAATCAACGGATTTTCTAAATCAGAATAGAGGTGTGCCCATAGGTAGTATACAAACTATATCGTATAAGTTGCATTCATTTCTTGAGAATGACAGGTGTATAAAAATAGACTTTCTTGCGTACAGGTTTGGCGTTTTTGTACCACATGACTGACCTGCTGCAAAGGGCCTATTGCAAGGAAATAACGTCCCTTAGATTAATTCTGAGCGTGCGCAAATAAGCACTAATTCATTTTCTTTCACTTCAGTTTGTTGCTATTGTTGCACGTGAGATTACTTCTGGTAAGCCGATTTAGCGGGGCAGTACACTTTTCCATATATTCTCTATTTTTCAATTCCCCATAATACACTCTGTTTGCCCCCCAAATTTTGCATAAACCATTGTTTTTAAATGCTCCTGGGAGTATTGCATTTTCCCAAGAGCATTTTAAGACAATAAGTTATTGACAATATATCAATATTTTGTGGGATATCATAGTCATGACAAGATCATAGTCATGGCGCTAAGTTATAATCATTTGGCATAGCGCTTAGCCAGGTCTTACATAAAGGCCGTTGTTAAATTTTTAAGCGAGTAAACTGCTTTGCCTGTTTTAGACTTTTTCAGTGAATTATATTAATCTGAATGAAAGATATACTTCACCCTCCTGACACTGATCAAGAATGACATAACTGTTGGACAGGTTAGGGGTTTGATTCCATTTAAACAACCCTTCCACTGGTAAGGCAGAGATTTGTCTGACACACATAGTATCGGGGATGAAATTTGGATGTTTATCGTTTTCTGGGATACCGGGTCCCATATTTTCCAGTCGGACTCGACTGCTTTATTCGGACACGAACTTAAATCGGATCCGAATTGCAGCAGTCGGGTCCGATATTTCAAATCGGCACTTTGAAGAAAATTGGAACCCTTATTCAGCCGTAATGAAAACGCTTTACGCTTCAAAAGAGGCCAAAGAAAATGCGCTTGCATCAGAGGGCAAATCCTGCCGACCAGAAAACAATAACGACAGTCAATCGATATGTATGTCATGACCTCTCAGTGTGAAACATGCGGCTAAAATCACATTTGCTCAGTATAAATGCAGAACCTTCCAGAGCATAATCTACCCAGCAGACAAAAACAATTTTATTAGAATAAGCAGCATTTTGGCATGAGGTAAAAGTCGTGTAGGCCTACCACCCCCTTTTATTGCTATGACTAAAATCGGTTTGAGTCAAACTTTTCTCTTCTCTATTACAATACACAATTGTGTTTCCAAAATCTCATTTTCTAAGTATAAATTGTAGCCCTTAATTCAAGAAATCGCCTAGAGCTAACGCCAACACGGACGTTCACATTGAAACTGATATCTGATATCAGTTTCAAGTGAAGGCGAGTGACCAGCTGTTTTGAGGCTGAAGTGGTAGAGACAGTAGTGTTTTGAAGTACCTGATCAAATTAAAAACTGCAAGATCATCCTGAAATGACACAGACTTTAGACGTTCATTGGTCAGTATAAAATAGATCATTTTGATTTTTTACATGAAAGTTATCAGAATTCCATTGAGATCTATCAATAATTACAGAGCAATTCAATCGCCACAGTGTCTCAATCATAAGTTGTTTGATAGTAAAGTAAATTCTAGGCTTTTGCACTGGCAAATCTTAGGCATCTTTATGTCACTATAAGCTATGATAACGATAGCCTTGCTACACCGAGTAGGCTATGCTAAAGATGGTGATTAACTATTAGGACGTGACTTTGCGACAGGCAATCAGTATTGTTGATATGGAATCCTTAGACTGTCAAGATGAGTTTGGTTACTTAATTTTCGCTAACTTTTCAAAAAATAAAGAAAAAATCATTTAAAATACTCAATGAGGTCCTCACCCGACTTCTCTACAGTTTTCTTAGCTTTCAATTTTTCTGAACAAAGACAATAACAGCAAAACACGTTCGATTTTAGAAGGTAGCGTTAATATACGAATTGACATATTTTAGAATTTTAAGCAGGTGGGACTGAATGAGCCAATTAAGGTGGTTAAAGGCCTAGAAATAGCTGACAATATAATGTTTTCTCTGTTACAGGCTGCAACGCAACGTGTCAGAAAAATGTGTTCATTTTAGTCATGTTTCAGAATATCTTTCTTTTCAATTTAATGTTCGGGGTTTCGAATCTTTATTTCAAAGTACTGGGATTTCACTCCCTGACTGTAAATAACTACGTCTTAGTTGGCAGTGAATATCAGGTGATACACGTTGATGACTGGTTCGGCTGCATTCTGAGTTGTCATGACGATCTACGGTGCATTTCGTACAACTACAACACATCTAGTAGACTGTGTGAACTAAACTACTGCAGTGGCCTACAAGACTTATGCGACAGAGATAACTTGCTTATTTACTCGACCGGCTGTGTATTTCAGAAGATACGGGACTGTGAGGTAAGTCAACAATTTGTACCCGGAACTTCAAGATCTTTCACAAATTTTAACGTGAAAGTGAAAAATAAATTTTCCTTCTTGGTCATCAGCTTTAAAAGGTTGATGAATAAGAAAACGGCCCGCAATCAGGTAATTGTTTGATATTTCTTGCAAAAGTGCACTATTTACCGAAAGTCCTTTAAGTGAATAACATTTAACACAGCCAGTACGTGCGCTGCATGTAATTCAAAGTACTTATTATTTTATTACTGATTTCCTTTCGTAACTTAAGCAAAATCATTAATTCTAATAATACAAAAACGTGTTCTTCTATAAAAACCTCTAGTTTTTCGGTTACCCCAGAATTTAGACTAACTTAAGTCTAATCTTTTCGCTTCCAGTGTCATAAATTTATCATTCCTGTCAGTAAAACACCTCGGGTGCTTTCTTTTTCTTTTTAAAACCGCTTTTTAACACCTGTTCATTAGGTATATTTTTTAAAATTCGCATAATTATTGGTACTGTAGATGCGAAGTAAATATTGTCAAAATACACTCTCCACAGACGATCTTTTATATCAGTTTTGTTCGGCACGTCTACCATTATCCTGTTTTTCGAATCCGTGTGCAAGCAAAACTTTTCCGGTTTCTTTACGTAGAATCTGCTGACAGAATTATGAACTAAAACTTTTCTCCCCTGAATATTGAACCGCATCTTGTTAAATTGATCGGACAGAGGCAACCAATTTGAATTTTTTTAAAACTCTATTCAAGACTTAAGGTAATAATGAAACGTGTCAGCGGAGTATTGTGATAACTTATAAATGTAATCAAATATCTTTTTTGACTGCCTCTATTCTTTACTAGAACGACCGATCCAGCAGTAACACTTCTAGAATCCAGGAATCTGGCAAATCAGGTAAACGTCTGCATCGCCGAGTTAAACAGAAACTAAAACAACAGACTCGTAAGGGAGAAACAATTCAAATAACAGTTGTTCACAAACAAACTATCTTTAAAATTTATGAAAACAAAGAAAGAAAGGGGCTCGTTATTTCAGGGTGACTTCCTAAATCCACTGGGATCGTCGGTCAGGACAGGTTCATTAGCTCTGGGAACTGACGGGCTCGCTAGGTGTTTTATGGTCTCAGCCACATCTAATAACTGCGCGTTTCAATGCGTTTCTGCTGTTGCCACAACGAAAACTACTGGGTTACCAATACATACGCTACCCCTATAAACAGTCAAAATCAAAACTGAGTCAATCCGATAAATATAATCCTCTGTTTCCCAGTCGTCTTGGTCTTGTTGGTCTGCATCAATGTGTGAGCTTTTAGTTGGAGCTTTTTTGAATATCAAAATCCTTGATGGTGTCCTCTGTAATGATTATTTTGTATTAAAATTTTCTCCTATTAGAAGTGCGTCAAAAAAGGATGTTTTTTCAATCTGTATTGACGGGTTATCACTGAATAAGGGACCTGCTAACTGACTACCTATTACAGCTTGACTTCACCCTTTAAGCCCTATCGGGCTTAAAGCAACCATTAGGACGTTTCACGTCGTAGTCGTGATCCGACAACAAAAAAGGGGACAAAAAGACCTGTGATGCAAATGCAAAGTTGCTGTTTTGCTAATCTAAACTTATGGGTTTTTTTGCCGTCCCTGTTGAAGCCGCCGTTATCGTCCCTCACCCTCCCCATAAATAACAGAGCGGTGCTCCCGGCATCATGGGCCCTTGTTGTTCGCTGGAGAGAGTACATAATTTTCATCTTCCATAACTAAAAGGTAGAATTTCATTTTAGCACCCGCAGGTTTCCCTCAAAATGTGCGAGAAATCAACAAGACTTCCAGAAGCATTTTTATCGCTTGGGATGCAGTCCTAACCAACAGCAGCAAGCAACAGAACTACAAAGTGGCCTACATCCGGTTTAAAAGGATAACAGGAGCTGCTATAAAAACGATTCAGGTTTCCACTGTGTATGCCAATTTAACTGGCCTACTGCATAACACTAGATACAACATTACAGTACTTGCGTACAACGAGTATGGAGATGGGCCCAGCAGCGAGGTTGTAGTCTTAAAAACAGATCAAGGCAGTAAGATCAGTTCGTTGTGTTTACTATTTTAGCAAAGCGGGTTCCCAAGGGTGTTGTTTATTATGTCTGCCCAAATATAGTGACAGTCACAAACAAGATTCTTAAGCAATTAACAATCCCTTTGCTTTGAAGATAGTGACGTTGTACCTGTTTCTATAACCGAAAATTCCCAAATCTGATTGGCTATCAACTGCCCTGATTTCAGCCTTAGTAGGACCGTTTAGTTGGACAGTACGCGCAATCACGCGCGCGCTTAAATGGCTTTTTTTTTTTTCACTGCTAGCAAAAAAAAATTGGAATTTCTTGTCTTTTGATTTAAAAAAAGAGCCTTTTATATAACAAATTTTGTTAAAGTTTTGATTAATTGGTAACAGAACTTCGTGTCGTCCAATTCGGTCTGCAATCATACTAGTGATTAAACAAATCGGACCCCGCTACAAGGTCGTCCGATTTTGTTAATCAATAGTATGATTACAGAACGAATTGGACTCCACTCAGCCCTGTTACCATTACTAATTGAGTCTCAACAAAGTCCGAGGTCATTGCCAGATTTTAATTTACAGATCACAGTCACTAGCTGGTAAAGGCTGGTAAAAGAATCTAGAGATTTAGACAAAACCTTTGCATAAGGACTGGGAAATTGTTTGTTGTTAAAAACATGTTAGCTATATATTTCACCATAAAACTGACATCCCGTGCACCTCAAGCCCCGTGCAAACGGACGCAACATTGTTGGCCAACAACTCCCATCATTGTTGGATGTTACATGCGCAAAGTTGGAAACCGGTCAAACTTTTCAGCCAACAACTCCCAATATTTCTTTTGTTCCGTGATCGCCGAAGCGTGTTGCAACAATGTTGGATCCGTTTGCACAACTCTTCCAAAATTGTTGGGGCCGCGCACGCGCATTATGCAGGGTTTACAAAGACTTATGGGTTGTATCCTTCCCACGATGCACTGCAGGTCCCAACATTGTTGGGAGTTTTTGCATCAGTTTGCACACCACTGCCAACACGCACACAACAACTCCCAACATTGTTGGTGCAACAATGTTCGGAGTCGTTGCGTCCGTTTGCACGCAGTCTCAGACTTGTGCGTTTCAGCACATCCATCCTATTAAATACCCTTTCCGCTTAAGAGCCACCCCCCACTTAAAAGCTCCCCATCCTCCCTTTATGGGCCCATCTACCTGTAAAGAAAAACTACATCTGGTTATAAGCGCCCTCTAGCTTGTATTACATTGCATTGCATTCCATCTGTGTAGTCGAGCTTGCTCAGCAGCGAGACTCTTAACATGCCAGCGTTTTTTTTTCTCCTGTGTGCTGGCCAAAAAGAGGTCCCAGGTGTTCCTAGCGGAGACCGTGGAAACTGGGGATATACTCAGAGCGCCATGCATGTTTTGTGATGAAAGCCTAGGAAAGATTTATGCGAAAGATGTCGAGCTTTTTCGGAACTGGTCTGTCCGTGAATTCTGTAGCTTAAAAACGTTGACTACTTTAAAACAAGTGAATAACCCCTTCTAAAACCCCTTACGAAGCTATATAACCCCAGGACTTGTAAGTGGAAGTCTACGGTATTTTTGCCCACATGTGACTTATGTAAGATCACAGGTGCTGTTCTCTCAGTCAAAAGAAAATAGTCCTAAGTGTATGCCTTACGTATCATTTTTTAGAACCTGTAGCTCCTCCAGCAAATGTCACCCTATTCAACATGACTTCCACCAGCATTCTGGTCACGTGGGATGAGGTACCTTATGGTAAGAGGAAGGGTCAAATACGGCAATACAAAGTGATATACAAGGCTGAAAACGAGAATAGTAAGAGCATAGAAGTCAACAGATCAACGCACGCTCTGAAAATAATCAACCTAAAACAGAACACCAAATACAACATCACAGTATCATCCGCTACTGTGAAGGGGTATGGACCATCTAGTGAGCCTATATCGATATTTACAGGCCAAGACAGTGAGTATATACTCTTGTACTTTAGAAAATATATGCTTCTTTTATCAGGTTTTAACAAGTTTTCCCTGGTGATTTTTCGAATTTTTTTAATGAATAAAGGGGGCGATGTTTAAAATTATCTAAAATTGGAAATATTGGATTAGGGGTTGTTGAAATTTATAAAATGAAGGGCATTTAAAAGACAAATACCAAATAGACCATATCATAGAGACTTTTGTTCTTGGGCCATTGTAGTTTGATCATAACACTAAGTGGGATCATTTTGAAATTTTAGCACCTGGCAAAACAGATTATCATTGTAAGATAAAAGAAACATTGTTTATATAAGACCTTAAGCAAGCTTTTAAAACGTCAACATCAGCAGTGAAAAGCTGATGCGTTATTAGCTGTTGCCTTTTGTATTCATTCCTGTCAAGAATTTTTTATTCTTAATCTCATTTCCAGACAACTTATAAATTTTTGTATACATAGTCTCGTCATTATCTTTAACGGTCACTTTCGATCTCTTTTAAAAATGTACGCTGATTAGCATACGAAACGTCAAGTTTATAAACATGCGAAAGCTCAAAACGTTTATTACCGCTGTTTGTGTTTTATTTTAATTTTTATGTTTTCAGATAGACCATCACCACAACAAGGTGTCTCTGAGTCTATTAGCGGGCTTACTGGCTAATTTGTATACCTTTTTCTATCCTTTCGTTCTCAAATCAACCACATTTCCCCCATAAAAATAACCAGAATGCCCCCTTAGTGTTGTAAATTCTCTACTACAGGTCCCAGTCCACCGTTCGGTTTTCGGGCAGTCGTCAAAACTACAACTAGCATCACGTTACAGTGGCATCATCAACAAAATTCTGCCATCACAGGGTATACAGTAAATTATCGTCCAGCCTCAAGTGCCGAAGAAAACCAACAGAGTACAGTTCACGGAATTCATGATAAGGAGGAAATTACCATAACGGGACTGTTAATAAACGTGACCTACATCATAACAATACAAGCCTCTGATAAGAATGGAACAGGGCCGGCAAGTTCTCCTATCATTGTTACCACGAGCGATGGAAGTAAGTTTTCCCAATATCTTACGAATTTTGATTAAAATAAATTTAATTTGCTCTCTATCTATTTTTACAGGTAGTTTCCATTGCCCTGCGGGCAGTCAGAGGTACTTCAAAGATCCAGACAGTTGTTTTAGTTACTATGAGTGCATTGATAGACAAGTCCATCACCAGCCTTGCCCCCATGGTACTGAATATTCAGTTAATTTAAGCCCGGTATGCGACCATCCCGATAGAGCCTCCTGTAGCGTATAATGACATCGCATAAACAATGCTATAGTGTTTTCAACGCCTAAATGAAAGCCTTGACTCTGTCGGCTTTAATTGAGGGTGAAGCCAAACCGAGTCAAAAGAGCTTCCTTGCGACTTGGTAGAAACTGAGCACGTAGAAAGCAGTTGATTTGAAGACGTATTTCAGTCTTCCAAAAGTCTGTTTAATTCAGTATTTTTAGAGCAAGAGGCAAAATCGTTCTTTGCTTGTGTAACCAATATCTCCTTACCTCTAGCGAAAACTTGAGTTCCCTCCCCCTAATTAAATCGCAGATCCGCTCCCGCGTTATACAGACTACCATGATTTTCATGACATAAATTATAAATCCTGCTAGGGTACAGAATTACTTATTAAAATTGACACAAAGCAGAAACTTACTTTTGAAAGCCAGAGACTGCGCAGAGGCTCCCACGAATGTAAATAGCCAGAATAATTTGTTAAAAATTTATAAAGTGGACCCGTGCGGGACGATGGGAAGAAGAAAAACAGGAGTGTCTTTCATTTCCTTCCCCTTTCCATCACCTCCCGAGCAGTTGCTTTTCTTCTGTCTGCAGCCTCCCAGCTGCGCAAAGGAGTCCTCGGCGTCACAAAACGTTCTCCCACAAAGCGTTGCGCAAATAGGAAAATAATTGAGAGCCAGGTCTTATTCAATTCGACGAAATTTTAGCGATAACATTAAAAATTTAGAGCTAAAGCGCAAAGGACATAAGTACTGTACTGCATAATAAATTTGTACTTTTTGAATAATAAGTAAGTTTGATCTGATAATCGCCGAATAAAAAAAGCTTGCCAGTGGTTAGTTAACCTGTTCATACCATAAATGTGTAAATGAATGTGTAGTTCTCTTTCCAGGTTAAGTTGAGAAGGCACTCACTAATAAGCGGCCACTAGCGACATATAGATACTGATGTGAGCTTTCCCATTTGCGCTAAACAGCAGATTTAGGACGGAAAAATCTCACCCTACTAATCAAAGTTCGTTTTATCATAATGTAGTTCTCCTTGCCTGATGATTTAACCGTGGATAAATAAAGTTATTATTGTTGTTGTTGTTGTTGTTGTTGTTTCTGCTGCTGTAACGGCTTTCATTTCCAATTTGTAGGAGTACACAGAAATTAATAACCTAGTCTAAGGGTCTCCCTATGGTGGAGCTGGTGAAGTCTATCCATAACTTTCGGTCTGAGGTTTCCAAAAGGTATGCAACAGATGTCGTTTTCGAAGCCAAACCGACAGCTTTTTTCTAGAACTTTACAGTCAATTCCTGAGAGATGCGTGGGCATAGCTTGCAAACACCCCATACCGAAATAATACTATAATAGTAAAAAGAGAGTATGATCAGTCCCTGGCGAGGGTGGTGTAGATAGTATAGACAATACCCATATTTCGTGCTCATTCTTCATGTGTGCATATGTACATATTTTTAACCAGAAGCTTATAACTTTTTCAGGGTTATAGGCTCCTGAATTAACTAACGGCAAGGTTACAAGTTTAAACCTCGCATTACGTGCAGTCGATTATTTCAGACTTGATACGAAGTTTGAGTGCATTGAAGGGCTTAAACATCATTACTCTACCCGAGTCTTCATTCCTCCAAATGAACTAGCTCCTTCAATATTTCCCAAGTAAAATCGAAGCTGTTTTGATCCAGAAACACACATTTCCTTCGTGTGTGGCTATTTTGAGCTTTGTTTAGGATCGTTTCTTTTTCTAGATAATTGTAATTCTGAATGAAGAATGAGTCAAGTTCTGATGAGGCACAGGTATAGCTCATTATTCTAAGTAAAATAAATTCTAGCTGGTTAAAACAGTAGATCAACCAGGGTAAAGAGGGTTATTCTCGGTTTTCACATGACGTCACCAAAATTCAAACTAAGAAACTATCGATTCTTCTGAGTTTCTGAGTTTCATGAGGTATTACAGCACCTAAACACCTTTATTTAAACAGAGTTTTGGTTCGAAAGGGTTCTTCGTTTTGCGATAGAGGACGTTTGAATTTCTAGGCTTTTGCGTGACGCGGCATTTAGCTGGCGGCCACAACGGCTCTTATGTGGGTTAAAAACATTACCAATTTTGGGAGATTTTGCTGTCTAAACATTCTTTGTCTCAGAATAAATATCACTTTAATAGTTTATGAGTTTTTCAAGCGATGAATTAACGCATTAGTAGGAAAAATCAAAAACAGATGTTTCTGTTGGTTTCCGGCGGCCATATTTGTGCCCCGCAAAGGGACACAAACATGGCGTCGCCATACAAAGCTTTGTAAATTTGGGTAAAACGTTTTTCCTAATATCTCGCATATGAAATATCGCACAGACCTGATTCTTGGCGAGGCCTTTTGCTTATTTATCTTCTTTTATTTCCTAGATTCGGGACTTTCTGTATTGAATGGTTTGCAATTTTATTTTTGATTGCGTGACAGTGAAAACCGAGAATAGGACCAAATCAGCTTCGTCGGCAAGAGATCTGGGTAAAAGACTAGGTTAGGATCTTGACAATAAACCCTAATAGAGCGTTTTCACTCACTTGGCCTGATGCAAATTTATTGGAACAAACGAAAGCGTTTGCATAAGAATAGAGTTCAACTCCCACAGGACTGGTTTGGGACACCAACATGGCCGCCGTGACGTCACGTGAAAACACTCTATACTGGTACGTTACCCTTTTTTACATCAAAAATACTATAAACTTTTATCAAATGTTCTCAACTAATTCTTCAAGAAAATGTATGGAGATCAGTCTAAAATATATTTATAAGGAGTAGGACCTAAAGGGTAAACCTGAGTAAATTCTATTTTTTTGTTTGTTTGTTTGTTTGTTTTTTTTTTTGTTTCACAGAACTGAGATCAGGCAAGGTAGATGAGCTGCATTAAAAAAAATATCAAGAAGAATGAAAAATATTCGGACTTAGTCTGGGACGTAAACTTAATCTCACCTCGATTCAGTTTCGTCTGTGGCGCAAGCTAATTCTGACTTCAATTTAAAATTTCCACATTTTCCTCTATCTTGTTATGAGACAATAATTATGTTCATAACGCTTTTGCTACTGCACTTTATCGGTCACCGGTCTCCTAATGATCCTCTACTATCTAATGGTTCGTTAACGGTAAATGATAGAACTGAATATGACTGTCACCAATCGCACTTCTGCAGTGACACCTATCAATTTTAATTATAGTTCATTGAACACAGTCTACTTACAAATTGTCAAGCCAATCATCTTGAAGCATCTATCCTGCGTTGCAAGCCTAGAGAATTTTGTTTTTTTAGCTAGATTTTTTGTCATATTACCAGCTTCCATACCTGACTTCTTGGTTATTCAACGCGTATTGAACCTGTCAATAATTCATTTTTGAGTACCGCTTAGCCACAATTTCAAAACGAGCTAAATACAGTACAAAGTCCCTCAGTGTTATGACAATATCATTTCTTTTTTTATTCTCATGAAAACGAAACTCAAAGGGTTTACAATTGGCTCCATTGTGGAGTGAGGGATCTTGTAACCTAGAGATGGCCTATTTGATAAGCAGCGACCAACACGTTTTCTATTGGTCGATTTATACGTTAAGTGCGACGATTTTCGCCCCTTAGCACTTACTTGTATTTGCTTATCAGTCGAATTGCCTTACTGTCATTTGGTCGAGCCAGCAAAAACGTATTTACGTATTGAAGGCTAACTTCTACAACTACATCTCTAAGGAATAGTCATTTCCATCGAAAGGAAAGAGAAGAAACATAAAATAACTTCAATTACTGGTTTGTCGACGGTCTCGGTTAGAGGTTATGGTATACACCTAAACACAGTAACCTTGTCATACAAATTAAAGCAAAAATAAAAAACCTAAATGCCACATAGAAACTAATTTGCCATGCAAATCACATTTGTGCTTGTTTCTTAATCCTCAAAACAGCTTTGGGGTACGGTATAATGCTTCAATTTGAGCTCTCTAAAGACGTTTTGAGCTTTATTCTTTCTTTTGACCAGTTCTATGAATGAGTTCACTTAATTCCTTTTTACCTAGCTTCATTTAATTCTCTATTTTCATTTTTCTATTACAACTTTATTGCAATTAGGTATACATGACCAACATGCAAATTCAGGTGCCAGGTGCAGTCGCTTTTGTTCCTGAATAATACAATTATATTAAGGATAAAAAAATCAGCAAATGTTGCATTTGAGCCATCTTAAATGACAGCGATTTCCAACGTCATCTAAGAGGACATGACTGTGTACTGGTAACAGTTGCCAGAAAGCTGTTGTAAAACAAACCAACAAAAAAACTTCTGTCATTGAAAAAATGCTTCAGAACTTCTTTTATCTCACACTTATATTCATTATAAGCCAGAGCAAGATATCCACATTACAACCAGCCACTGAAAACAGTTACATCTTGGTGGGTCATGTCTATCAGACGTTGTACGTTGATGACTGGTTAAACTGCATTCACGCTTGCCACTATGATCCAAGATGTACTTCATATAACTATAACAAATCGGCAGCAGCTAATGGACTATGTGAATTGAACGCCTGTGAGCCGCAGGACTTGTGCAATATAGAAAAGTTCCTTATCTACTCGCCCGACTTTATATTTCAGAGGATACGAGAATGTACCGTAAGTATTACCACTGTTCAAAACATCACCATGTTAAAAAGTTAAACTTAGTTTTAATTTCATTTGGTTCTTAAACATTACTTAAATTTAAACCTACATTGTACGAGAAAGTATCACCAGGAGCCTTTCTTTGAAAGAACCCAGAGATAAAGGGTGGAAAGTTCACGATGTATAATTCATTAAGAAATTTTATTACCAGTGCACTCCAATGACGTTTTCACAATTTATACCCTTATTTTTAAAACAATGCGGCGCATTGGCCATAATGTCAGAGCTTTTGCTTATTTTCCTAACGCTTTCCAACGCCCTTTCTAGAGTAGTTTCCAACAAAAAAGATGTTGTTAGAGAATTTAGAACAATGACATCTTATGCAAGGAGAGAGATCAACTCTGATCTTTGCTTCAATACATTTCCCCACAGTCCCTTTCAAAAGCTTTCCCCAGCTCAATTATAGTTATTTTAGCAACCTTTTCTTGGATGGGTGGATGTTTGGAAAGATGTTTGAACATCGTGTCCAATAATACATAGCATTACCACATTATTTAGAGTCTTTTTCATGAAAGTTTGGTAGAAAATAACTGATTCTTTCACAAGCTTTACTGATTAAACGTAAACGACTTGAGCAAGTCGTGCACCTGCCAACGACTGCCAGTAGCTTTTACCTGCGAACTTAGAACGTAATTAAGTGTCCGCTAAAAGTTTCTCGACACATTTTGGTAGAAAGAAGTGTATTATAATTCGTTCTTTTTGGTAGAAGGAAAAATATTAAAATTCGTTATTTTTCGATGATTGGGGGCTCACGGATTTGGCGATAAATCCACGGGATCAAAATTAGACGTTGCACTTTATTTTTTGCGGGATTATCGTCATTTATGCACGTATATTTTGTGCGCATTTCTTTGATTTTAACCCCTGACTGAAACGTGATTGTTACCATTGTAATTTGGTACAAAGTTAGTTCCTTTTAACTGCAAGTCTGTGCATTTGGCGAAAAGTTGACCAGAATGTTGCCTTGGGGCTGCCAATATACAGTAATCATTTTAAAAAATTCTTCACCAAAATCAAACATTTTAAAGCACTTTTTGAAACATTTTTTTTTTTTGACAACGACGCATTTGAATATTTGATTAACGTTAATTCAAAACAAACTCCGTTCGTTTCTCAGTTTATAGTCAAACCAGTTCAAAACAGTTTCATCACGTCATGTCAAGGTTCATCAAAACTCTGCTGGAAACCCGTAGTGCTTTTGCTTTTTTCGCGGCTAGTGTTTTATATATTTTATCATTTATAGATATATATATTTCTTATCATTTACTCACGTGGCCAGCATCTATGCAAATTTATTGGAACAAAAGAAAGCGTTTTCATAAGAAAAGAGTTCAACTCCCACAGGACTGGTTTGGGACACTATCATGGCCGCCGTTTCATTGTTTTGGGACACCAATATGGCCGCCATGACGTCATGTGAAAACACTCTATAGTTAGTAGAGGAGACTGGTTATGAAAGCCGGCAAACACCAAAGTTGAAAACAACGGTGCCGAAGTTTATGTTGGAATCTCTCTGACCGTGCACAATCCTTTTTTGTTTTTGTTCTAAATAAACTGATGCGATGTTTCTATTGGTAAGTGAGTTCAAAACGATAAGAGTGTTACTGAACGTTGTGCGCATTCAGGTCCAAAAAATCCGTATTCTGGAATGTGACAAAGACGTCTGTCGGGTTTCATAACCATTCCACTTTAATAACTGTGATTTCATGAATAAAGCAATATCTTCATTCACATACAATTTAGGGGTTTTATTTCACTTCCTTTTAATTTGTTGCGTTATTTTGTGTTTTAATTTCTATATCTTGGTCGTCTTTCGATGTACGTGACATACATTTTTCAATTATCATACAATTTATGGAATTTAATTCAACGAACAGTTGAGGTAATTTAATAAAATTTTCTCTCTACAATAGTTTTTATTTTGATCACTTACTAATGAAGATGATTTTAATAATGTTGATGATGGTGATGATGATGATGATGATGATGATTGTTATTATTATCATACTTAACAATTAATGAATGAGGCTGAGTGTTATCCGCCTCGGCCTACGGCCTCGACGGATAACACTCTCCTCGATCTCCATAATTCTTCATATGATACGAAAGCCGAATTCAATAATTGTTTTATTATTCATTCAAAATAATTCCTAGTTTAAAAACAGCTCCGCAAAATATCATTCTCCAAATAGCAGATGTCGCCCGTCGAGTTGTCTTCTTGCTGTTCTTGCGATGTTTTTAGCTATTATTTCGCCTAGTTCTAACTCTTGAAACGAGTGAATTGTCCGCCATTTTTGTTTTCACAACCAAAACAACTCAACGTCGTCCCCAGGTCTTCTCGGTTAACGGTGCTTGAACCTCCAAGAAAGCTGCACTTTTGACGTCATTTATTCATTAAACGCAAAATTCTTCCAAATTTGGTCATCAGTAGCTGGTTATGGAGAATTATGCGCGTGCTTTTAGCCAATCTTAATCGGGGATATATTTTGAATGATTAATAACAAGAGATGTTAATAATTATTGTAAAATTGTATAACAAACTACCCTTATTAACTCGGTTTTTCTGCACTATATATAGCAGAATGATAACAAGCGTTCGGACTGGAATCCTGATGTCAACTTGGCAGGTAAATTATATTTATATTTCGTTTTTTAACACATCATAACGAAGCCAAAAAGACAGAACACGGAAAATTTAAGAATATCTATGAAGGCATTTAAGCCGCATTTTTAAAAAAAATTCTGTAACTGACCCTTCCTCTGTTCTTGTTGCTAGGCCAAGACCAAACTGTCAATTTCCGTTAAGACGAAACAAAAAGACAAAGTATAATCTTTTTGGGCCAAGCTAACGTGAACAAGACCCTCATACTGTGAGCTTATTGGGCTGCCGACTGTGCAATGCAGTGGTTTAATATCTTGAAAAGTATATAATAATAACACTTTTTTCCGGATTGAGTGTTCACCTAAACCTAACTTGTGGAATGAGATACAGATATATATACTATTAGGAGCCCAGGGCCAATAACTCTACGCAATAACTTTCTGTTCGTTCCAGACGACCTGAAATGATCCGTGCCCTCCACCCCCCCGCAAAAATAAGCCCCATTGAAGGGGGAGTGGGTCAAGCAAAGTCATTTTGTCTTTTTTCGACGGAGAAAGCCCATTCCATAGTTGAGTGCCACAGGCAGCCCAATAATAAAGCTCGTCTGTCGGGTCAGACGTCAAACTAATGAAGCTGTGAACGGCTGATCAATCAGCCACACATTTCTGAGGAAGGCGGATACAACATTAACGTGTTGTCGGTCGATCCAAACGCATTTAGTCGAACTTAATTGAGACAGACGCCACCCAGTTTTGTTCAACGTTTAGCTTTAGTAAGTGAGTTCTTAAACACTTCCCGATAATGCCCTGGTTTTCAATCACGTGGTCAGTTTCACAACACTAGCATAGAGTTTTATAGTGATGACGTCATAAAAATTCAATTTGTGAAATTATGGGATTTGTCAGGATATTCTGAAAGAACAATATCCAAGAGACCTACTTTCCAAAAACTACCATTTCATGGCAAATTGTCTCTGAGATATTAGCCCAGTTATGCTTCGATGACTCTATACAAATCCTTCTAAATTTGACTCGATTCCTAATGTGTTATGAACTGAGTCAAATTTATATTTCATAAATTTATTTTTTATGATGACACACCTAAGAACTCTATGGCTGCCTTTTTATAGTTTTGGGACGTGAAAAGGAGGCGACGTCATGTAAAAACGCTCTATCGAGCCAATGCTATTGAACTAAACACAAAACTGATATCCCCATCAACTTGAAGACCTTTCAAGGAGATTCTTTGTTTAATTTCATCTTGGAATAATATCAAGAAGTATAGAAAACTAAACTGAAAAAAATATCTTTGTACTTAAACAATATCTATTCTTTTCAGTGCCTGTTGACCGTCCTGAAAACGTTCAGAAAATTAAGACAACGAAAACATACATATTCATTTCGTGGGACGAAGTCCAAAGCAATGAGCAAAACGGCGAGATTCAGAGCTACAAAGTGAACTACACGTCTTTAGGGGAGAGGATAGCCGACCCAGTTACCAAAACAGTTTTGATTCCATACGCCAATCTAACAGGTCTCGTTCCAAGCACAAAGTATAAAGTCACAGTACTTGCGTCCAATGCGAACGGGGATGGCCCTCGAAGCGATGCTGTTACCCTCAGAACCCGAACAGACAGTAAGTTCGAAAGTGTAGTTTTTAACTTTTCACTAGTGATAATAATTTCTGCAGAAAAACCTCTATGACCAAACTCTTTCTATCGGGCCAGCGAAGCAAATAAGTAACATGTCTGTTAACATCCCGGAGTGCTGCACTTGAATGTCACTTCGCTTGAGACATTCAGACTTGTTTTAAAATTTCTCTTCCTGTAACAATTTGTTGTGTTCCTTTAAAACAAACCAAACCAAACTACCGTTATTTAGAGAGAGCGTCACTTGGAGCTCTTAGTGTCCTCTTATCAAAAAAGGACAAATAGACAACCATGTACTCTTTTTAATAAGTACATCATGCAGTTATTTCAGAGTTTTGATTGGCTTACCATTGTGGTAATAGAGCGTTTAGGGTAACTGCCGTGAACACCAAAACAAGTATGGCATGAGAATATTTCTAGGCAACGATTTCAATGCGATTTCAAATCCTGTTACTGAACTTTCTGCCTTTCAACTCCGGAAATTAAATTCAGTAAGGAATTAAAACCTGCTTAAAAAGTTTTTCTTAACTTTACGCGTACACAAGAAAGGATTGAGGTTGATTGAGGTTAAGCCCTCTACCAAACGCAAAATGATTTTACTTCTAACACTAATTAATTAAATTGTACTTGTTTCGGCCACTACGACATTCGCTAAAACCTGTAAAAGAATGACGACGGCTGTCGCGTTTTCCAGCCAAAATAGGGAGCTTAAGCAACGATAACGGTGAGGTCAACAAAAACGGCAAAAAAAGAAATGTTTAGATTGGCAAAATAACAGCTCTGCAGGTGCATCATTGCACGACCACGAAGTGAAAATGCCTAATTCCACGTTTTGTGGAGGACCTGAACAGTCATTACAACACCTGACTTTCTTTTTCTTTTCCTGAACTTTGATACAGTCTTCAAGAATTGAACTCCACAGCCAGAAATTGCCAGCATTTGATGAATTGAACGACGCGAGATGGACAGCGCGATAAAGTTTGAAGCTGCGCGACTTCACTTTTTAAGTGACGTTTTCGTAGCCGTCACCTTCGTTGTAGCTTAAGCTTCCTACGCCCACACTACGTTGTGTTGAAAAAACCTCGTCCTCGTACTCTTACTCGTCTTAATCGTCCTCGTCTTATCTAAAAGTGTCTCATTTTCTATTATTTAAGAACCGTCGGCACCTCCAGCAAATGTTTCAGCATTCAACAAGACTTCAACCAGCATTTTGGTCACGTGGGATGAGGTACCTAATGGTAAAAGAAACGGCCGTATTCATCACTACAAAGTAGAATACAAGTATGAGCATGACAATTATACGCAGAACAAAGAAGTCGACGGCTTGATTCGTTATTTGAAGATTGAAAACTTGGAAAAGAACGCCTATTATAACATTACAGTGTCAGCCGCCACTAACAGAGGATATGGACCTGCCAGTGAACCATTGTCAGTAGCTACGGAGCAGGACAGTAAGTATTTATGCCGTTTGAGCATGCGCCGCTTAAGAAACGAGAAGAGAGCTAGAGCCGAAATGTGTCACGCAATTGATTCTGGGATTGTTGCTGGGGAAGCGCAGCTCAGCTATTGGCCAATTATGTATTCCCTTTCCATTGCAACAGTCCCAGAAGTCTTTGCGAAAGCTAACTTGGTCCAGCTTCCTTCTCGATCGTTTATGAAGTTGCAAATAGCTTCTTGCTGCATGATGCCCTGGCTCTGGAAAAGCGTAATAGGCAGATCTAGCAAAGGACAAGGCGACATAAATGAGAACGCGAAAGCGTACGCGCAGAAAGCACCGAACGCGACTTCCGATGCTCTGCTATTGGTCAAGTCGGTTTTCAGGTCTGCGCGTCACTATCCTCACGTCTTCTTCGCTAAATCAGGGAAAAGTCTAGATAGATTCTATAGTACAAAAGAGGTCGGACACGTCATGAGGTTTAGACAACGTAGTAATCGTTACCGCTAACTAAGACGAAGAAAATCTCATTATGCAGAAAATTAAGAATAAGGGAAGGCACTTTAACAGCAAAAAGTACGAAAATAGAGCTGCGATTATGGTGTTTGCACTGATGATGTATAGTGATTAGCGTTAAGCACTGATTTAGGATGGTTAGCTCTTATATTTATTAAATATTTTGCAAACTCCATAGGAATAGGCAACCTCGTCCACAGGGCTTTTCCCTAAAAGAATGAGTGGGGAGGGAAAAGGCCCTGGCATCGGCTGGTCAAGTGTCTTCATTAATAATTCATATAAACGGTAATGTATGACTTCCTGTGGTCAATTCTGCATCCTCATTGGTTGACGGCTTTTCAGAAAAATACAGTAGAAATTGATTTGTGATTATGCCCTTGGGACGAGGTTGCAATTTTCCCTAAAAATCTTGTTAAAATGTCATTCGATTTTAAAAATAAATCACTCATCCTGAAGTTCTTGGAACGATGAGTAATTGAGAATTTTTTGAAGATTATTAGAATATTTGCTATCAATGAAAGTTTGAAGGACAAATGTTAAAAGTTATGGAAAAATGACAAAATATTGGATTTAAGGGTAGTTAAAAATTAAAATTTGAAGTGAATAATAAATAGACAAAAGACCAGACAGTCCGACACCACAACAACGGTGGCCCTGAGCCAATTAGCGGACTAACTGGTTCACGTGTATACCCTCTTCTATCCCAGTTCTTACTTTCATTCTCAATTCAACCCCAATTCCCCCAAAATTCAGCTGCAATGCCCCCTTAACCTTTCTCTTCTGACTGTCAGTGTGTGCCTCGAAAAAGCTAGTAACTTCTTTCTAATGACTGTTGAAGAGATCACTGCTAATTACTGATTTGTATTGACAAATTGGGTGGTGTCGTTTTAGTACCTGGTGCTCCTCCTCAAAATGTTCAAGCAGCCAACAAAACTTCAAGCAGCATCTTGGTCACGTGGTATCAAGTCCCAACCAATCAGCAGAACGGAGACATTTTAAGTTACCATGTCACTTATACAATGATGAACCAAAACGTTACGGTAACAAAACAGGCAGAAGCTCCAGCCCTAAAATTAAAACTAACTGGATTGAAAGCGAAGACAAACTACAGCATCACAGTAATGGCTTCGACCATCAAAGGACATGGACCAACTAGTCCAGCCATTTATGTTGTCACAGAATAAGTTTAACCGTGGAACAACACCGGAACCTGCGGAAGCTATTAAAAGAAGTGGCCGTCGGCCCAACTACTTCTAATTTTAATACTCATTCGTAGCAACGAAACTGACCGTTTCTATCTGGGGGGTAGTCAATAAAATTTTATATGAGAGGCTTCGCCCCGAGGTCCATACCCCACCCCTCAATGTAGCATTTTTGACAAAAGAAAAAGTTACGCTTTTTGTATATCTTCTATTGACAAATGGTACCCCTTTCATATACCTAGTTTAATGGAGTAAATGCGGTAATATCTGAGGCACTATATTTGCCTCTCACTAGTAAACTGAAAGAGAGGTGGGCATTAACGAAATCACGATAAAGCAACCACAATCGTATGATTGAGTTCGGGAGGTATGAGCAAATCGCTAGGGAAGACAGATGCGTTTTCTCTTTTTACTGTCCCAAATACTTTGCAGTTATAATTAAGGATAGATTTTTTTTCTATAAGCGGTTTTTACGCTAGAGACGTTTAAGTTGTCTAGACGCATTTAACGTCTTAGACCCTGTTTACATGGAGTGGGGGACCCCGGTCTAGTGGGGTTGGTTTCTTTTGTTTTCACGCTCTTGGGGACACAAAACAAAAGAAACCTACCCCACTAGACCGGGGTCCCCCACTCCATGCAAACAGGGTCTAAGACGTCAAAGGACGAGACACATAAAAGTAGACAACAGCAGTGAAAAAAAAAAACCAGATTTTTCTAAAAAAAAAAAAAGAGAGACAACTAAAAAAACACTGACTCTTCCCGGTCATTTCTGAACGGGTTGGGCGTAAATGTGTCCCAGTTTATGGCGTCCAGTTTTTATACTAGACGCATTCAGTTAACGTCTGAGTGTTGAGTGCGTCTGAACAACGCAATTAAAGAGAAGACGTTAATGTCGTCAAACGTTAAATACTTCTGTTATATTAACCGTTTTTCTTCTAGACGTTGAAGTCGCTCTAAGACGACGTTGGCCGAGGCCAAACGTCGAACTTTTCATAAGACGAATGAAAGTTAGTGGGTTAAGTTCATGAAAAGTTCGACATCTGGCTCAGTTAAGTTCGTCTGGATGACTTTGGATCGTCCAACACGTTTTATCCGTCTGCTTCAGACGGCTAGAACGTCTGAAGATCGTCCCCGGGACAAACGTCGATCTTCACATGCCACAAACTAAACTAATAAATTCAAAATTTGTATGATAATGTATATTTAGCCTCGTTCGGGAGAAAATTATTACTTATCTGATTCAGTTAATTGGCTCAACGCGTCTTAAGTTCGAAGTCTGACCCAACTGACGATCTTTTCTTAATTTTAGGTCCCCCAATTAGAGCCGCTGCTTGGTTTGTCTCAGGAACGGTTCGACGTTTAGTAGTCGACTTTAACGTCTCTAGCGTAAAAACGGCCATTTTACAATGAAATACAGTCTGAAATTCTGACAACTACCAAGGAAAAAGGGACTTGACGAAGCTTTAAAATAATTAGATATTTGCGGGAAGAAACGAGCTTATAGTTATGGAAATAAAACTTACATCAGATAAATGAGCTAAATCGGGTAAAAGTTGACAATAAATTCATAAATATTTTTACCTGGTGTCGTTTTGTTGTTTGTTTTCTTCCTTGAAAGTTTCAGCGAGATTTGAGCAGTATTCTCAATATCATGGATGGGGGAGAAGAACGCAGAGAATTTCGAATGCCCTGTAACTCAATCTTTGATGGTCTTTGACAGTTTGAAGTTTTGTCGTTCCTTTCTTATTAGTCGCAGTTTTTCGTGTTGCAAACTGAATGACATTGTCTGTTTAGGCAATTCGAGACGGTCTCCTCCCCTTTCATCTGCCGATGGGGTCTGATAAACTGTTTGTAAGACATTCTTTTGACAGTAAAATATCAAACAGTGACAAGTACGCGAACCAACGCGCCGGGTAAATGGCATCTTGTTATCGAGTCCTGAAGGCATTATGCATCGTCTTAAACCTAGTCATGTACACCCTTCTCTTGGTCATGAATTACGCGTCCAACAACAAAAGCGGAATTCTATTTGGAAACAAGTCCTTGGCGCAAATGGCACGTAAATACTACACAGAGTTTAATCCAGCCCCGTGGGCTTTTGAGATCTGGAAGCTGGTAAACGCATGGACATCATTGTGGATTCTCTACAGCTTAACCCACATCCGAAGAAATGTTCCGGACGTTTTAACTCCGCTTTTCTTTGTCTGTTTCACCATGGCTTCCGTTTTTAACATGGCTTGGACGCAGTTCACGAGCTGGGATATCATAAATCCCGCGACGGGGTTTGTTTTCGCAATATTGATTTTCCTTTACGCCACCCTCTTCTGCAGCTACTCTGGTTTATACAAGCAACGGTACTATATTCGACGTTCCGAGTTCTGGTTTATACACCTCTTCCTTAACAACGGCATCGCAGTGTATGCGACCTGGGTGACCGTGGCTGCTCTTCGAAGCCTCGCACTAAACATGACATATCGCCACGGAATAAGGCAAGAATATGCCGTTACCACTGTTCTCGGAATTCTCGCTCTTTGGATGGTGATATTTTTTATTTTAGAGAACACTCTTTTTAAAGAACACCTCCTTTACACTCTAACAGTTTATCCTGTTTTAATCTGGGCTTTTGTAACCAGCGTGATTTTCAATTTGAAACGTGTGAGTCGCACAAACAACGCCCTCATGGAGGTTCTTCTGGCCGTGTCATGCACGTTTTTCGTTGGGAAGATCTTCCTCTTGATTTGGAACGTTGTTCGAAGGAACAGAGAAATACGGGCAGCCGCCGATATAACCATGTCTGAAATGCCCCAAACTGACCAACAGCACGAAAAGTACACGGATAAATCAGAGGGTAGAGAGGTCTTCGTCTAAAAAGGATTACTTTTATACAATTAGAAGCTAATGTGAGCATTTTCATGGTCACGCAATTATTTTCGAAGGTACTGTCACACTGCTAAGCCCTGCTTGTACCACTGGAGGCTGTTCAGGAGACGGGAAATTTACACAAGGCGCTTTAGGGAAGCCTCTGCGGGGTGACTGAGAGACCATTCAGAATATATTAGTTGTACCTGCAAAAATGAAACGTTACTAAAATGCTCCATTTTTGTTAATAACTTTATAAGTGCCATAAAGCAATATGGGCGACTTTCACCGTGAACCGAGGCCAGGGAAAGGCTACATAAGAATTTTAAAATTAAAAACTCCAAGTACCGATCATTTGAAAGAAAAACAGACTCGCTCAATTTTTTTCTCAAACTTAAAGCCCCTCAATGTAAGGCTAATGGTTTATTTGCCACTACCCTATCGTCTCACAACAAACTCCATTGGCCCATCAAACTTTCCATCAGCATCGTTTTCACTCATCTTGAGATTTACAATCGTCGTAAAAGAAATAGAATGCTTACGCAATATTGGCACACATTCACGTTTCACACGAACATGGGAATCTGTTCTCTGTAGGCAGTTTTATTTGCCAAACTGGCTTCAAAACTATTGACTGTTTGTTATCTTTACAAAGGAATAAAATAACTGATTTGAACATAAAAATAAAAAGTACTATACTTTGAACGATTATTTCAAGTGTTTTTCGTTCAAGTTTGTGAGGGATTGAAGTCCTTATTGAACACTAATTTATTTACTCGACAGAGTACAGTCTTGCCTCACCCTCTCAACAACAAAAAACAGTGCTGATATATATTCTTTCTTTTTCTTAATATAGATTAAAATCTGTAAGGCCAATGACAATATGCAGTATTGGTTATCTTAGCCTGCAGCATAGGTGCTATTGTTTGAGGAGATAGGGGAGGGGAGGATGGAGGGCGATCACCGGAATTGGCTCATGGTGTCTGAGGTCCACATAAGTCAAAGTTGGTAGGTTGGCACCCTTCCCCCTCTCCCCGCTTTGACATTTTACCTTGCCCACCCTATTACAAGAATTTTTCACTCAACCTCAGTCTTCTGCTTTCAAAACTAAAGACGCTGCTTTAACAAGCAACACTCCATTTTTTAAGAAAATGAGATTAGTCTCTCAAGATTGCCCCACCTTTTCCCAACATGTAACCAAACAAATAAACAGCAAGTACTCAAAATAACAGCTCAAACTCTTCCAGTGCATGTACATATATTAATCTGCAAACAATAGCAGATAACAATAATTATTCTTCCCTCCCAGTTTCATTATTATTTAACACTCATCCTGTTTTAAAAAATTATCTATCATTTCCTCACCAACAGTATTCGGCCAAATCTCATAGGGCACAAAATGTGCCAGCCATTCAAAAGTATTCATCCAGTTGCAATACTATTGATGCCAATCAGAAGGCATTTTTGAACAAAATTATAACAGCTAGAGTTTTCAGAAAGATAACTTCACGAACTTTGAAATATCATTCTAACTCTGGTGTTTATAATAGAAGATAATTCCCTATCATGTACTAGAAAGAATGCAACTGTATATTATGATCTAGGTTCCATTAAACTTAATACAGTTAAATTGACTGGCAATGACTTTCAAACTGCCATTCACAAGCAAAATAGCCTGCTGGTTATAAAAGGAAAACAAAGAAACTCGAAATAATAAATTGACTTCTCCTTTGTTATAAAGTGGATGAATAGTGACAATAAAAATTGTATAAATCTATAACAGCTCCTGAGAGCGTGTAGAAGCTCTCATAATTATTATTCCAGACGGCAAGTTTGTTGTTTTCTAAAAGTTAAAACTTCTTTTGAACATCTGTTTTGAGCACACATGCATCATACTTCATTGTTTGCATTTGTCTCCATTGGTTCACCCGTTCCACCATCCCCTTCCCCTTTTGGAGCACCTTGGTCGCCTTGGTAAAATGTTGGCTAGAAATGAAAATAACTGTCATTAAGCCTTCAAAGTAGATGACCTACTGGCTAAATAAGACTGTGGCGGATTCAGGGGCCTTCCCCCTCCCTTATTTTTCGACCAAACTGAGGCCCAAAGGCCCAAAAAAAAGTTTATTGGAGACCTGGTCCCCCCTCTGAAGGTCTGGATCTGCCGCTGTAAGCCCCTCGGATATTCATTTGCACTGTAACAACAGAGCTTGAAAACAGCTTTAACCCTGCCCCACTATTTACACATAAATTCTCCATACTGATCTTCATACATTTCTTTAAAGAATTAGTTGAGAGAGTTTGATAACAAATCAAAGCATTTTCTCTAGAAAGATCATTTTATTAACTCTCATAAAACCATTTCGCTTGGCAACATATGGATATCATTAGGAGAAAATTCATGTTGGTCACCACTGGGACTAAAAGGGTTAACTCGACCTCATCCTTTGGACTAGCTGTTCTCACATTTTGCTTCCCTGGGGTCATTAAATGCATTTCTTAGTTTGCGATTTAGTTAGAAGATGACTTGCGCACCATTTGCCAAGGTGGGCAAGACAGCATGAAGAGCTACATGTCCACCAGGATAATTTCATTACCGTAACCTACTAGACAGGAGCTTTATTCAAGCCCTGAACAAACTTAACGCATAAGAGCAAGATACACAGATCACAAAAACAATCAGTAAAATCCTTGCTTAGGGGGTGTTTACATGGGAAAACTCACACTGTCACAAGTTTCATACTTGGATGACTGTGTGATTTTGTATTGCATTTACATGATGATGGGTCATTTCATATCTCAGTTATTTGAAGGTACACTTCATGTTGATAACACACATGTGCAATTCAAAATCACAAACATTATGCAAGAGCTACCCATTCCAGTCCACCAGCAGACTGATTTCACACTGAAACAGGTGGTCATTTTGCATTTACATGATACCATTGTAAAATTTTGTACCAGAGTGTAATTCTTGCTCCAGTACAACAACCAGGGTGAACTCACGCCAGAGTGACTCGTGCCGGCATGACATTTTGTGATGGTATCATGTAAACAAATAGAGAGCCATGAGAGGGAACCAGAGTGAACTTCCACTGGTGCTTAAGTCACCCCAGTGTCATGTAAACACCCTCTTAGTAACAAACTGACCCCAAAAAACTGTAACAATTTCAAACACAAACACTGGATTGATCAAAAAAAAATACATCAAAATGAGAGCATTCTGTACCATCACATACCTTGGTTGGCACTTGATATTCAGATGGGGCAGGATTCTCAGACCCACCTTCATCATCATCCTCAGAGTCTCCAGATGACTCAGATTCATCCTCTGACTTGTCTACCTTCTGAGGTGGAGTGGGGACAGCTGTAAAGAAACATTAATTTTCACTAAGTTGAGGGTACATGTATCCTTGAATAAAAGTATCCCTTTAGAGATATCAAGTACCATTTCCATGCCCATCTGATGAATAGATACTCTAAACATGAATGCACTTTATCATCTATGATTACTACAGCTGTAACAGTTAAGACTGAAGTAATCATAGATGTTATTCCAAATAACTTTTGAGTCTTCAAGTGAAATCTTATTTAGAGTATAGAGTGACCACTTAAATGACACCTCTTTCACACTAATTTCATGCAGACTATTTTGATCTCCTTTTTGATGCACTTTGAAATTTTGCAGTACGGTACTGTTGGGAGTAAATTGGGTTAATCCATAAAACAGCACCCACCAGAGAAATTATTATTTAAAATTTTTAAACGTTGAGAAAGGGAAAGCTAACCACCACCTACTCAACTCAATTGAAAATACGTTGGGCTGCCCAGTGGCAGACCATGAGTTCACACCTTCGCTAGACCAACAGCAGGTTATTTAAATAACTGAGGAGAAACAGCTGCCTTTGTAGTTAGCTTTTCTGGTCCGCTTGGATAAGGCCGATAAACCATAAGGCCACTTCACACAACCCTGACACAAATATTGCAGGACAGACTACCCACAAGTTATTGTTAAGAGTAGGAGACTTAAAGTACAGCCCCTGGTGTGGTTCACATTCACATTAGAAGGACGATCAAACTCAACCTACTTTTGAAATGACTCCTGGGTTCAAACCTTTCACATGCTTAACTCTCTACTTCATTAATTGAAAACTGTGCTACAAGCAGCCTGGCAAAAAAACCCTGAACCAGTTTTGTAAATCAACCCCTCGTGGCACTGCCATATATGGGCCATATAGGTATGTGCTGCTGTGAAGGGTATGGTTTTCAAGCAGTTTACTCTAGGATAGGGTATATAAATCAGAGCGTTTGGGTCTAGCATAGGGTATTATTTTTCAGGAAACTTATCAGGTGGTTGAAGATTTTATCTAGACGATCTAGACTAGGGAAACAGCTATACTCTAGGATAGGGGGGATGTGGGAGATTACTCTACTATAGGGTAGCAAAATTCAGCTGAACTAGCTCTGGTATAGGTTAAGGGTTCCAGGGTCCCAGCGGCACATCCCCACCCAGAAATTCCTAAAGTACCCCCCCCGGGAAATCAACCCCGAAAAGCTCCAAGGGGAGTGGATAATGAGATATTTAGAATTAACAATTTACAAAGCTACATTGAATTTGCCAGAAAGCAAGAAATAAGTAGGAACATACTGGCTATTTTCTTTTGCTCTTGATCAACAACACCTTTACCACTTGACAGCAAATTAAAACAGTTATCGCAGACTCGCAAAGGTTTTGAGGACTGAGAAGGCAGGAGAAACTTCTTGGTTGAACAGTTACTACAGACCACCCCTCCACATTTCCTGCAATGGTGCTGTAGAATAATAAATCAATTGATGTCATTTTTTTTGAGAAATTGAATTTTCTGTTTTAATTTTCTTTTTTAAGAAACTGAATGTTTGACTTAAGATGTGACATCTACAAGAAAAAATAGTCCTCTGAGAGGACATGAGCTTACTGGCACTGAATAGTCTGTACAAAAACCGTCTTTAAGGCAGTCACGTTGGGTACCAACTTCTAATTGGCACAGTATTTTTTGTCACTGTTTGTTAAGTGCTATAAGTGCTTTATAGCATGTACGGTTGGCTCGGCGGCCACAGGCAAAGTTAAAACTTTCACAGATATAGTTCTGGGACTATTGTAATTATTTTCTTGCCAAGATTAATTACACAAATGTCATAACGAAATTACCATAAAATTATTTTTTATAATTCCAGTTGTTTTGAAATTATGCAAATTTTTGACATTTTAATTGAGTGTTTAAATAGTAAAAGTGGCAAATTCGTGTTTGCATTTGCCCACATTGTGATTTTCAATGTTTAATAATACCAACGATTGAAAATATTCATTACTAGTAAAAGTCAGTCAAGACATAAAGTAATTATGAATGGATCATAGAAATGGCAAAGAAATTAATCTGGCTAAACCAAAGACAATTATCAAAAGTCAAAACAGGACACTTTTCATGCAAAATATGACATTTGAAAGACCATTCATCATGAATACAAACACCTTAAGTCTTAGAATAACGGAGTATAATATCTTATTTAAACTTTTAAAAAGCCCTAAGAACAATCAGTATCAAATTCTTCCTTGTCATAACTACGCTTTATAAAACAGAGTGCAAGAAAATGGGAGATAGCATGTATCAAATCCTGTCCCTCCGGCTCCGAAGGTCACGTGTTACAGCACATACAATAACAAAAGAAATGACCTTACCATCATTCATTCTTACACCAACAATAGCATAGAGCCTTCTAAGCCAGTAAGCACAAAAATTGTGCAAGAGATGTTAAAAAAGGTGTAAAAAGCCAAATTTTGGCATCAACATAACCCCATTATCAAGACTAAGTGGCAAATTATACAATGTGTATAAAAAGTTTCAGGTCTCTAAATACACATTTATTCACAAAAATAAATCGTTACTTAGTCTAGATAATTGCATTGAGAGATCCTGCAAGGATTTATGGTAATCAGGTGTCTGGAAAGGAGAGGCGGACCAAACCTGGTTTGTTGGCTGTTTATGTAACAATCATTTTAGGACATACTCTCTATAATCAGGCCTTCTGACAGAGTAGGGACCTTACGATCTGACAACAGCAACACCCCTGAAAGTGTCGCTGAAAAATAGACTTCACATCCTTGCACTTTTTTTCGCAATTATCCCATGTCCCCCGGTCATCTTCTTCTAGTTCAGTGGGAGATGGTCATTTAATGTCGTAGTTGTGCATGGACAGCAAAGAAATTTTCAGAAGAACGTGATGCACGTGCAGAGTTGTTGTTTTGCTGATTAAACATATTTCTTTTGTGATGTTCCCATTGCCATTGCCGCTGTAGTTTCGTAAGGTCCCTAGTGCATGTATCAATAAAACAACATTGATCATTCAAATTTAATTGACATACATACTCTTCGATTTAAAGCTGTGAACTTGCTCTTTAAACAATGCATGCAAGTTGATGCCTCGCTATCAGGAACCCAAACAGCTGCATGTTCAGTGGTGCCTTTCTTCCCCGCTAAAAAATAATCAGACATAACAATCTTTGTTACAATGCAGTTCTATCTTAATGGAGTGAAAAAGAGCCATATTATTTTACCCTCTGTATGTTAAACAAAAATTCTTTATTCAGCAAAAGGATTCAACAATTTGGAACCTGTGAATGTAGCAGCTAATCAAGGCAAGTTTACTGTTTAATGAGTACATAAGCTTATGCCTGTCGGTGTACATGGATATTCCAGTGACCATAACAACCCCCCCAAGTTAAAGTTTTTGCTCAGTCAACTCTTGGTTTAGAGAGACTTTTTTAAAAAGTCACCAGCTGCAAAATTTTAGGCACTATGGCGACCAAAATGGTCACAACATGGAGGGTTGTATAAAACGAAAGATTCAGGCAGAAAAAAGCAGAAGTAAAATCTCTGTTTACTTGCCTGGTCATGTTACAGCTGTAGAGCTCTACAGATTATGCTTATACAATATTATGAAAATCACAGCTGTTAAAACAAGGCTTGTTCAAATAACTACTTAAAGAAACAAACACATTTACACTGTATGCTAACTTTTTGCCAGTAGGTCTTGAATACACTTGTTGATGTGAGCCATCCATTCAGCCTTCTCTGTTCTTGTAGCTGCATAAACTGCAAATGACTTCTTTGCACTAATAATCTGCCAGCCATTTTTTAAATCTAGAGGTAAAGTATACCAGATAGGAATGTTAGCAAAAAAATCACTGACAGAAATATTACATCCACCAGTTAACAATATTATTTCCTGTCAGACATTGTATGTCAAGGACGGTACATTTTCCTAGACACTTATACAAAGTGTACCATTAAGCAGTGCTCTCAAAACACTCAACCAAAAAAATTGGAACACTTACTTCCTTCATCATCCAAGGACTGTAGTTTTATATCCTCCAGAGGAATAACATGCTGCTTGTTATACTGAAATTGCAACATCATTATGTAAGTTTGCCGCTATTTTGCCGGGAGTCTGCTAATTCTTTATAAAGCAGAACAACTAGTGGAGACAACCGGTCAGTAATCATTGTTACTTGAATAGTTACGCTCAGTAACAAGTGCTAGAATTACTGAATATTGTTACTACTAACCTTTTTCTTGTTGATGACAATATTTCCATAAACAAGAATATCATTGAATAAAAAGAACTGACGTGGCTTGGGTTTCTTTCTACAGAGCTTGGTCAGGACACCTTCACCAACCAAAACCCTTCCTGGTACCATTAAAGGCTGAAATAGTAAAAGGAAATTAGATCAGCTCTTGGACGTATCAATTGTTCCAACATACAGCACCGTTAAATTAGGACCAAAAAAACGACACATTAGATAAATACATTCTAATTCAACCACAAATGGGAAATGACCAGCAAACCTACAAATCTTAGTAAAGTCAAACTCTGTTAATACGGACATGTTAACAGGGTGTCCATATTAAGCAGGTCATGTCATTTATGTAAAAAATATATCCCTTTTGGGGAGCATTAGCATCATCGAATTAAATATATTTCATCTTCACGAAGCTGTGATTCTGTGCTAAAAACATTAAACACATACATTACTTAATCAAAACCGTCATCCTATCCAGTATCTTGAAGCACTTGGAACATCAACATGCTGTCCACTGAAAATTTTTTTTACTTTTAAAAAGGAAAGCTCTATTTCACCACACAGTTAATAATAAAAGTGTCCACATAAGTGAGGTTGACTTTCTATGTGAATCTGTTGACTGCGTGATGAAACAGGTGTCTGTTGTCCACACAATTCATATTAATGGGTGTCTATATTAAGCGGGTTGAATTTAGAGAAAGTTTAAGGGCTTTCCCCTGGGGTAAAGTCAATGAGGTCTCTGTATTAAGCAGGTGTTCATAGAGCAGGGTTCGACTGTAACTGTGGCAGGGGAGGTTCAGTTGGTAGAAGTCCGATCTCTTGGAAACTTAAGGTTATAGGTTCAGTCTTTGGTACCTCACCAATACTTGTAGCCTGCGTAGCAAGCGTTACGAGATGAGTAATAGCACGAAAGTTGGAGCAGGAGCAGAGAAAATGGAAGGGGGAGGGAGAGGGGAGAAAAGGAAACACTTGCCCACAAACCCCATGATTCTGGAAAACACCCCTTGATATTTCACGGTTCAGTTCATTTGTAAATTGACAGCTTGTCAAAATAGATAACAAATAGATTACCAGATTTGAAAAATTTACTTTGTTCCCTAAAACATGCTCCACGCCATTGCAAAACTGTAATAAAAAGAAGCTTTACGATAAAAGAAGGTTGAAACTCTAAGCGATTGTTGCGCAATTTCTTGTTCTTTATAGTTAAGTTAAATTTTGAATGTTATGTGGCTTTATCTCATCTGAAACCTTGTCAAAACGTCGCAAAGAAATGATTTGTCCAGAACAATTTACACCGCCGGCTATGAGTTTTGCAGAGCGGCTACTCTCTATAGGCCAGCCATTGTCGAAAAGTTCTCTACAATACATGCCGCTCAATTTCCAATCAGTTGTCCATGGCAGCTCTAGCTAGTGTCTTTTACCCATGTTCTGATTTACGTTGATGTTATCTCCAACAAACAGTCCATTTTTTTCCAGTCAGATAAGCACGCCGTTGTTCCCAATAAATTGGCCTTCACTAGTCTTAACTGCTCGATCTCCAATTATACTTTTGATCGAAGGGATTCAGATCTGATAAACCTTTGCACAAACATGATTCAAATAAATATCAGACCAAAGCATTTGTAATCTGCGACCACAAATCAGATCAGACCAGATCTGTGACACACCGTAAACAAAACATACCTGGTTTGATTGATGTTTCGAGTGCTAATTAATCAACATTACCAGCACCGCACCAATCAAAAGCTACGTTTAGGGCGAAAGCAGTTTTTCAAAATCGTGGGGTTTGGGGGCAAGCATTTCTTTCTCTTCCCTCCCCCATCATTCCCTTTTTTTTTTTGCTCTCGTCCCAACGTTCTCGACAAACTCGCGCAGAAATGCTTGCTACGCAGGCTAGACCAATACTCGTGGCCTCTTCGTCCTAAGGAAGAAGGCTGTTTCCCTGCCCTACAAAAGTTAAGACTTTTGCATTGCTTAGATGATCATGTAGAAACAGCAATAAACTGCAGCAGGGAACAGTGCTTTGTGCTAAAGGCACTAACATGTTTATTGTATCTTTTTTTGTTGGAAATGCAAATTTAAACAAGCTCCATAGAATATATACCCTTACCCTGTGAGAAGAGATCGATGGGCCTCTACACGTAGGGTATAGAATATATTGTTCTTTGTTTTCCTTATAATTATATGAAGCTCAACATTGTCCACCTCGCACAAGGTCTCTGTAAACTGTAGAAGCCCACAACCACCTTTCACAAATTTATTGAAATAAAATATTACCTCAGGAGAAGTCGCAAAACAACCCTATGACCTTTCGAACACTACTACATGTACAAAAATCAAACTTTTTCATAAGTGTTGAAGCGTGCTGACAACTAACCTGCCCCGAGGCTCCAAAACAATTTTCAACATTTCTTATACGTCTCTCATTAGCTTCCGTGTTTGCTGCAGTAAATATAAGGAAATATTAATAAAGTCAAAGCAGAAGCATATATATGTTTCTGGTTCAAGCAATTAACTCGTGTAACTTTAACAATGCACATTAAAGTTGTTTCAACTTGTTGCCTTAAATGCATTCGACAGGGTCGAGTTGTAATACCTGTCTAATAAGCCAGATAATTCCTGACTGTTGCTCCACTACATTCTGTTCTTAAGTATGAAAGGCATAAGCTTTCCATGATCCAAGACAACTACATCGATATTTTTATCGTAACAACCGAATGTCGATCTCTAGGGGCATTATAAACCACAACCCTGTAGAGCACAAATCGAGTGCTACTTCATGGAGTCTAACACCCATCTTTTCGGCTTTAATTTATAAAAAAATAGAAATTAAATAGTTATGCTACTCTTTCTCTCTCTCTCTCTCTGAGCCAGAGGAGATCTCAAAAATACAGCAAGAAATGCAGAATTCCTTCATACCTAGCCTGTCCACCATCTTGGTCCGGTGACTCCGAGACTGAGCTATTGGATCACATGCTAGCGCGGGTTATTTTGATTGGTGCGTGGGCAGGGCCCGGAAATTGTCACGCTGGAACGAGTGGGAGGATTCTCATATTTCCATTTTACCGTGTATGGAAATGTTCACGTTGTCTTCGTTAATTTTTACCTTAAACAGGAAACTGGGTGGCTTTTCAAACATTCGCGGGGTTGCAGCACTTAAAAAATATTGGGCGATGATGTAACCTCTAATTACGTACATTTTGTCTCTGTTAGCCTCGGAAACTTCAGTCAATCTTCACACATTTACACAAGTGTACGCATTAAGTAGGAAATCAAAGTAGCTGATGAATAATTATTAAGCTAAAAGACATTAAGTTCATTTTTTTCAGTGTCCAAAGTAGCAACAGCTTTCTTGTTGGACACCTTCACGTTCAGATAACCGGAAGCAGCAAGAGAGGAAATAAAATCTCTAATAATATCAGTGATAGAAGATATAAGCAAAGCTAAGATAATTGAACAGGAATGTAAATTTCAAATGCTGAGCCCCAGTAAGAAAGTTAATAAAATCCAATTACCGGTAAGTCAATTTGCGGGCTCAAAACTTTACACCCAGGCGAGGGGGAGGGGGAGGGAGGGTAGGAGGTACTCCGGATTTCAAGTGACAGGGAAGATCAAATGGGGGTAAAAATCAAAAGCCAAAAAAAAATCCCTAGCGCTTCAAACAAAACCCAAAAAAATCCCGGCCATGCCGAACTTCCAAGCCATAAAAGTTTATTTGCGGAACTACACAGGCGCGATATGTGGGAACTATCACGAATCTTGTTTTGAATACACAAAAAAATATACCTACTTAAATGAAACTACCCAAAAATATACTTAACGCGAAAATTTTCCAACCCCCAAAAATACTGAAATCAAAAATTTCAAACCCCCCCAAAAACGTCAATCATCCCTGTCACTTGCAATCCGGACCAATCCGGAGTAACCCACTGGAAATTTACAGTGGGACTTGTGTACTGAATATCCTGGTCTGAGTGGAAGAAGGGCTGGAGGTGGCTTTGTTTGATATAAATATTACTTCTTTTCTAATGCAAATCATGCTATAAATTATGCATATCAATGGAGTGAGGTATTTCTTTACTGCCAGCCTGGTTAGGTTGTTTAGCATACAACTGTGAATCAGGCCTTTCCCTTTAGGACAAGAGCTTGCTGACTATCATAAAAAATAAAATGCTCTGTAGATCATAGAGGTATTAAATAACATAAGATAAAAGTGTAACATTGTTAACCATTGTTATACCCATGATGGGAAGATGCTTACAAGGTTGGTACAAGAAGCAATTCAAATTCTCTTTATTGCATGGCTTGTTGTGTTCACTGGGAATAGCATGTGGCCCGGCCACCCCTCCTGCTCTTTTTTTTTTGTTTGTTTGCTTGCTTGCCCGCTCACTTGCTAACAGACTCTCTCTTTAGGCCTCTCCCAACTTCCCCGATATCTGATCACAGATACATGTACTGGGTATAAGGCATAGGGGGGAACATAATATTATGTCCCTAGCCTGAATTTTCAAATACGGTCATTATTTTTGTGTTTCTATAAGGAGTACGCTATGTTCCTGTCGGTATTTAACCCATCTAAATGTCCTTAGTTGCCACTTCATTTAGTCTCATGTTGCTGTTTCAAGGCCATGTCGCTTATCTGCACGGAGGGATTTACATTACTCAACTGGGGTCATGTAGCAGCTGCTCACAAGAGAAGTCACAATGGTGCCTAACCCTGACTCCAAACAATATTGAAACAATTGAAAGAATGACATGTCATTGTTTTCTGCGACCAATCTGGAGAGACCTTACAAGCAGAGCTCCTACTCAACTGTTTCTCTTTACACAACCTTATCCTTTCCCACAGGAGAATATACACTTAACAGTCAAATATTTGTGTTTCCAATATTAGCTTTATTAGTTTTTATAAATAGTATTTGCTTCATACATACTGGAAAGTTAACTTGTTTATACTATCCTCCCAGCTGGACACTGAATGTTTAGGGGATTTTAAAGGTTCTATATATAGCTACATATTTACTACTCTGTCACAACACTATAATCAAACAAACATGAAGGACATAGACTATGATAACCAAACAAAATGATAAGATATATAACCTCATGCACAAAATATTTTTATTTACAATTCCTTTCATTCTGCACACCCCAACAAATGAGTAGCAATGAGTAATATTGAAAGGCTGTGGAGAATGGCATCCTAAGATTATTTCCTAATCTTATCTTTAATTCTCCTTATGATGAAATGTTATAAGGAGGAAAATGGCAGAGATTTCAGCCACATGTAAATTGACTTGAAAAGCTAATTTCGTTGAAAATACTGGTATGTATGGCAATACATTGAAATGGTTGCTATTGTGGTCATTTGTAATCTCACAAACTTCTATGTTACCCAAGTCTTACGCCACTTGCATGTCTCCCATAATGCACCTTTTTGCCCCCCCCCAAAATTTTGCATAACCTTTGTTTTTCATTTCTTTTGAATATTACAGCTGCCCCAAGAGAAACTGAAAACAATGCTTGTGCAAAATTTTGGGGGGCAAATAAGGCGCATTATGGGAGATGTGCAAGGGCATATTAAAAGAAATACTAAGCTGAATTTAATGCTTCTTGCAAGTAACTTGTACATTTCGCACTTGGGCTGTATGCCAAATGACCAGCTTATTTTTAATATTTTATGACACCTTTGAATGGCATCTTTAAAGCTGTATTTACAATTCAAGTTTACTAAATAATGCTTTAAACATTGCAATTCCTTGGGTCTGACCCATCATACCACATACATGAAAATGACTTGAATCATGATGATGTCCAAGAAATTTTCTTAATAATAAGTGGTGGAAGAGGAAGTTTACGGATGTCTTGTGGAGAAACAATGTTCTTCACGGTCTTTACACAGTATTCTTCAAGCTTGCAGACTATAAGAACAAAATAGAAATTTAAGAAACAGAGAATACTGAACATTACTTGTGGTTAATTTGGTGTCATAAATTCAAAAAAAACTAGTGCTTCTAAATAAATATGTTTTCCATAAAAAAGACAACTACAACACCAAATGGCTAACACTTTGAAAACTGACCAAGATTAGATTATTTGTTTACAACTAGATGCTAAAATGATCATGTTTTTACAGGGTAACTAAATCCTGGACTGAACTACCACTGTTTTTGAAAATCTGAATCCCCCTATGTATTAAGCAATGGTTTAACATCCTTTTGAACGTAAAAAGAGGCAGCCTGGCTGAGTGGGCAGTCAGGCCCCAAGTTCAAGTAAGAACCTGACTGCTTGCTGGATTTGTTCCCAGTAGTCCTGAACTCAAATCCTTAACCACACTTGTAAATGAACAACTAGTTCAGAGCTGTGCTCTAGCAGAGCCCGATGTAGCTTGCGAATACAGCTGTTTCTCCTTGTTCCTCACTGCTAAGGACGTTTTGCCAAGAGAAATGTCTGCAACTTAGTGACAGAAATTCCATACTGATGGCGTAAAATCTGTCCGGAATTTGGTTAGGAGCTCTGATTGGTCAATGTAGTAGTTATATTGTTTTGCCTGTTGTTTATGAATGACAGACAAAGGCCAAATGTAAATGTGATGAATCTATTACAAAACAGTCAATATTCTTAGAATAGATTCATTTTTAGAAAAAGCATCTGAGTTTTGCTGGAGCTCGTTCGCAATAGATCACAAAACTTTACCATAATCGACCAGGAGAAACATGAAATCAAAGAAATTTACATTTGGAACCCCATGAATACCGGATTTATTATGTAAACATAAATTTACGTCATCAGTTAGATGGAATTTCTGTTGCTGAGTAGCAGATGTTCCTCCTGGTGAAATGTCCCTGCAGGCAGTGAGGAGCTAGGAGAAACGGCTGTATTTGCAGGCTAAGCCCCACGGCCCCTGGCGTCTAACTTTTCCTATCAGGCAACTAGAAAATCTTAGTTTTTTCATACAAATCATGAGCTGGGCACCCTAGATTTTACAGGCCCAGAGAAATTGGGCTCCCTTCAATTTTTGTTAGAGCACAGCCTTGTAGTTTGCCTCCAGCTAGTAAGGATTCTTAACCTCCATTGATGTTTGATTTAGTCTAAACTGAAACCATGAGATTATCAATATTTCAGTATCAGTTTTAGATTTTATCTTTCGTTCATTCAAATTTATCAGTATCAGTATTTACTTTACTCTGGTGAAATTTCATCTTTTTGGTCAATATGCATATATTATTTTTAGCAAAAAACTTTATGTAGGCTTTAACTACTAAGTTTTATTTATTTTATAAATTTTATGTCTTATAGTTATTACCCTTATCAGGGAATGTTTTTCTTATTATTTAGGGTTTTCCTTCAATTTTTAATTTTCCTGTATCATAAAACAATATAAGCTAACAGTAAATGAAAAGTAAAATTTATAACGTACAGCACTGTACTTCTATTTTGAAAATTAGATTCCTCTAGGTATCTAGCAGGGGGGGCAGGGGGGGGTCTACGGTGGCCCACAACTGTCACAGCAAAACCAAAAACCTCACGGCAAAAACAAAAATATACCTCATGACAAAACCAAAAACCTCACGGCGAAACCAAAGACCTCACGGCAAAACTAAATACTTCACAGCAAAAACCAAATTCCTCACGGCAAAAGCAAATATTACTCACAGCAAAACCAAAGCTATTTTGCTTTTGCTGCGAAGTATTTGGTTTTGCCATGAGGTTTTTGGTTTTGCCGTGAGGTATTTTGTTTTTACCGTGAGGGTTTTGGTTTTGCCGTAAGGTATTTTGTTTTTGCCGTGAGGGTTTTGGTTTTGCCATGAGGTATTTTGTTTTTGCCGTGAGGTTTTTGGTTTTGCCATGATGTTTTTGTTTCTGCCATGAGGTTTTTGGTTTTGCTGTGACGCGTGAGTTGTGGGCCACCATACGGGTCTTATCACGAGTTCACAAACAACAATTTTGCATTTCACGAGTCACAAAACCAATTCTTTACGTTTTCACGCTTCACAAACAATAGAGGTCATACAAAATGCCAAAAACGTTGCATAAGTCCCATTTTGTAAAACATTCAGTGCTTCAATTAGATTACTAAAGTTTTACAAACCAATAAATTCCCAAGGGAAGCCAGCTATAGGTGAGTATGAACGCATTGAAGTGTGAAGTTTCATCAAAAGATTCAAAAGTGAACTTTAACAAAGCCACCATTCATGCTAGTTAAGGTTGTTTGGCCAAATTAACGATTTAATTTCTTCGATTGATCTTCAATGTACATATACACAAACAAGGATTTCGGCAGTTCAGGAGTTTCATGGAGATCACTTCAATCGCGATTCACAGGACAGTTTTTCAGTACATCACGATTGACGGACACCAAAAATGGTCGATACCACCTACGGCGTCAAGAAAGTAAGCTTGCCATCCATACCACCCCCCACATCTACATCTTGAACAGGTTGATTTGTAGCATTCGAACAAGAAGTGTGAATAATGGGCGCTTCGAGGACGCACAACTATAATTTACTGCCTGGAATATTTCTGATTATAAAATAACTGAGATAGTACGCGTGATCTGATTGGTCAAAAACCTATGGTTTATTATACCGGTAAACCCATAGAAAAAGGCATCCGGACCACGAGCCATAAACAAAACCGGATTGATCTGCAAACAACGATTTTAGAACGGCTAAAAAACAGAACAAGTTACTTACCCAGCCCTTCTTAATATTAAAAGCGTTGGTTTCCACATTTTATTACTGAGCCTCACAATTCGCTACTGCCATAGCTTTAGAACTTATAAAGTACAAAGCTGGAAAACAGTTTACATTTCACGACGATGCCAATCGCAGAGAAAGACAACAACTGTGTGAATTTCTGGTGTAGAGAGTCTCTAGGAAAACTTAACCATGTGCCAACCAGCAACAAAACGGATAGTTTTAGCATTCTTGATTTATTTTATGTCAAAATTAAATTCCTTAATGAAAGAAATTGTTCCAAAAAGAGATCTCTGATCAAGATATGGTACAAAATCGCCCGCTGTAGGTTCAGTAAACAAGCTGCCAACGATGATGAAAGATGTCAGAGTTTCGGGCTCGTTTTTTCCAACATTTGCACAAATTATTCGGTGATATCGATGCCATAACCTACCTCAAACCACCTGACTTCACGAATCGACAAATATTAACGCCAATATGTGGCTACGGCAAAGAAACCTTTGACCACTGACATATTTCCATCGGTCGCTGTACGTGCATATAAAGTTACAAGCGACAACTTCGCAAATGCAGCCACGTCGTTACCGCAGCATTTCTTGATCATTATAAAGTCCAGAAAACAGATCTTAAACCACTGAGGCTTGTAAAAGTGAATGAAGTCCTCCATTACAATAGCTGTCAGTTCCGTCTGTAACAATGAAATTCTTACGGATCGACTCAACAAAATACAGCTGCGTACAGTCTGATGTCCAATTAATTTCTACTTCTGTAGTAAACAAACCATGAACTTATTCTTTCATTCAACGTTCGCATGAATTTGTGTTGACTTTTCCTGTCAAACAGCTTTCATGGGGACTTTTGGCGGGAAATCGCAGCGGTCGGACGTGTATTCATCGTGTCTGCCTAACATTGCCAAAGATGACCCCTCTCTGGCACCTACTCCTATGAAAATACACTATCTGGCTCCCTGACGATGTAATCTACCTTCTTCAATGTAAATGCCTCCCAGAAAGAATAAAAGAGGTGATCGTGGCTCAACCGAAGACGAACCAAGAAATCCGAAGAAATCCAACATGGCGGCCGAGGAAAACATTGATGTTGAAGAATCGATTGAAGCGGGCAAGGAACAAGAAGAGCCTAGCCTTCTTGAAATCAAGGCTCTACTGGTCGACATACAAATCCAAATAGCTGCAGTTCTTAGCGAAAATCGAACGCTGAAGAAGGAAATCGAAGAATTAAAAGAATCTGCCAACTTCTACGAGAAGGAGCTTAAAGATTTGAAAGAGTCCTTGCAAAAGACCAAGGACAAATACAAAGAATTAAAACACATGCTAGCCTCAACAAGGAACGAGCTTAAAACAACAAAGGAGAATCTAGGAAAGCAAAAAGAAGAATCCGATCGACTGTGGGAACACCATGATGATTTGGAACAATACACTCGAAAGAACTCGCTGGAAATCCATGGAATTCCAGAAGATGCGTATCCCAGTACGGAGGCCGCGGTCATCAAGGTTGCTGAAGCCCTAAATATCACCATAGAGCCTGAAGAAATAGAGATTTCACACAAGCTGAATCGGGGCAAATCCATTATAGTGAAATTTTGCAATCATAAAGTGAAATCGAAACTTTACAAAGAACGCACCAAACTAAAGGATGTCAAAATCAAAGATCTATTTCCCAGCTACCCTTCAAATGCACAGGAACGACAACGTATTTTTATAAACGAGAACCTCACGGCTTATAGGCGTAGAATCATGAAAGAAGCGAACAAGAGAAGACAAGAGGGTACTCTACTCAGTGTTTGGTCTTTGGATGGTAAGATTTTTGTTAAGACATCACCCTATGGCTCCCCTGTTAGAATTTTTTCCGAAGAGGACTTAGATCAATTATAAACTGAACAGGCAAAATAATCTACGTTAAGTCTGGAGAGGGTCGTCTTATCAACCATTCAAATTTCTCGCTGCCAAAGTAATTTAATTTTACTAACTACAAATTTGTCTATGCTCTGTTTTTTTGTTTTTGCGCTACTCTTTTTATTTATTCAAAGTGTTATTTTGTTTAATTTACCTTTTGTGATCATTTGCTTCAGTCTAATATTATATGCACGTTTTAGTCTTCATTATTTGTCTAAAATATCGAGTACCTTTTGCATCAATCATTTTACACCTAATAGAAAGAATGCAAATCCTTTATTGAGGCGCACATGTTTTTTTCCCGTCGAGACAACGTTTATTACAAAAGACTTGAACAAATCGTGACTTTGAAAATAACTTCATTGAATGTCAGGGGACTTAGGGATGACGCTAAAAGAAGAGAAGTATTTAATTGGCTTCGCGCCAAAAGGCCATCAATATGCATGCTCCAAGAAGTACACTGTATAGAAAAAACAAATCACTTGTGGAAAGCAGAATGGGGCTATCAAGCTTACTTCACCTCTTTTGAAAGCAACAAAGCAGGGGGTATGTATTCTTTTTTAACAATAATTTTAACCTTCAGCTCCAAAGACTTTACACCGACCCTGCAGGGAGATTTATTATCTGTGACTTAAAAGCTAACGAAAAGCTTTTTGACCCTCGCTAACATCTATGCTCCCAACGAGGATAAACCTTCATTCTTTCAAAACTTTTACGATCATCTTTTAAATTTTAAATGTGAAGACATAATAATTGGCGGTGACTTCAACCTTGTTCTTAACATCGAAAATGACAAAAAAGGTGGCATTGCCAAAACTCACCAAAATAGCTTGAAGACCGTTCAAGAAATTTCAGAGAACCTAGATCTTCTCGATGTCTGGAGAATTCACAATCCAGATGACAAAAGGTACACTTGGAGACAACGACAACCTAAGGTTTACTGTAGACTTGATTTCTTTTTAATAAGCCAAAGCGTTATTGGGGACGTCACTAACACCGATATAGTGCCAGGATATAAAACAGACCATTCCATGATTACTTTAGATCTGTCTCTTCATGCAAATAGCAGAGGACCCGGCCTTTGGAAATTAAATACCTCTCTTTTAACCGAAACTGCTTATGTTAATCTTATTAAGACAACGATTAAGGAAGTTCAAGACGAATATGAAAACGATGACATGGTAAACTCTGCTCTATTGTGGGACATGATTAAGCTTTAAAATACGGGAAAAATCGCTCCAATACGCAATGAATAAAACTAAGAAAACAAAGGGCCGTGAGGCAGAACTAGAGCATGCAATTTCCAAACTAGAATCGAAAATGGAGAACGGAGACTCTAGCGTAACAGAAAATTCTGAACTTGCAGAACAACTGAATGATCTAAAGAGTGAGTTAGAAAGAATTATTGAGACTCGTACGAAAGGTTCCATATTGAGAGCTAAAATTAAATGGCATAATGAAGGAGAAAAAAATACGAAATATTTCCTCAACCTAGAAAAGAGACACTATAAGCAAGGCATTATAAGCCAACTTAAAGTGGACGAAAATAACTTTATTACTTCGGATCAGGAAATATTAGCAGAAGGGGAATCTTTTTTTATGAATCTATATACATCCAACAGAAATATACACAATTTAATTGACACATATGATTTTTTTAAACACGAAAACGACACCGTCCTGAATGACGAACAACGGAACAACTGTGAAGGCCTGCTAACTGAAAGGGAATGCCTTGCAGCCCTGAAAACCATGGAACAGGGAAAAACCCCTGGATCTGATGGGCTACCTGCAGAATTTTATAGAGTATTTTGGACAAACATATCAAACTTATTGATTAATGCTCTTAATTATGCGCACGAAATGAGTCAGCTTTCCATCACACAAAGAAGAGGAGTAATCAAACTCATTCCCAAGAAAGACGCTGAGCCGTATTTCATTAAAAACTGGAGACCGCTTACTCTTCTCAACTGCGACTACAAAATTGCAGCAAAGGCTGTGGCTAACAGGCTGAAAAAGGTTCTTCCCGATCTCATCAGCTGTGATCAAACTGGCTTTATGAAAGGCAGGTTTATTGGCGAGAACATACGATTAATAGACTATGTTATTCGTTTTACCAAAGAAAAAAATATCCCAGGGCTATTATTATTTCTTGATTTCGAAAAGGCGTTTGACACGATTGAATGGCCTTTTATCATAAATTCTCTTCAATACTTCGGTTTCGGCCCAAGTGTTGTAAACTGGGTCAAATGCCTTTACAGCAACATAGAGAGCTGCTTCTTAAACAACGGCTGGACAAGCAATTTCTTTAAAATTGAAAGAGGGGTCAGGCAGGGGTGCCCGTTGTCTCCATATCTATTTGTTCTTTCAGTTGAAGTCTTAGCCAAGGCTTTTAAAAGAAACAGCAATATCAGAGGAATACACGTTAACCAAGAGGAAATTAAAATAAGTCAATACGCAGACGATACAACCTTAATATTGAATGGTTCACAAACGTCGCTCTCAGCTGCTCTCAACACACTCGACGATTTTGGAGAAGCCTCGGGTCTCAAACTCAGTAAAAAAAAACAGAAGCAATTTGGATCGGAACATATAGTGGAAAAACAGAAATTCTTCTTCCAGAAAGAAATTTCAGATGGCAAACAAACAAAGTAAAATCTTTAGGCGTTTGGTTTACGACAGACCCTGAAAACACTGTACTTCTAAATTATAAGGAAAAACTGGAAAAAATTAACAATATTCTAAGCAACTGGAAATACCGTAGATTAACCTTAAGTGGGAAGATCACTGTTCTGAAAAGCTTAGTAGCTTCTCAAATTGTGTACGTCTTGGCACCCTTGTGCACAAACAAAAAATAATTAGCGAGATTAACAAGCTCTTTTACTTGTTCCTTTGGAACGGAAAGGGCGATAAAATAAAGCGAGATATTATGATTAACAATTACCCAGCAGGTGGCCTCAAAATGATTGACATACTATCTTTCAATAAAGCGCTAAAAACCACTTGGATAAAAAAGTACCTGGATACAGATAATCAGGGTAAATGGAAACTTTTTCTAGATCTTGAACTGAAAAAGTTTGAGTGTACCCTACCTTTCACAAGCAACCTTAATAAGATAGACATAGCTAATATCTTCAAAACGCAAGACAGTTTCTTAAAGGAAATTCTCCTAATCTGGCCAGAAATCAATTTTGAAGAGAGGATAACATCAGAGAGCCAGCTTTCAGAACAAGGCATATGGTACAACTCACTTGTAAGGATTAACGACAGCCCTATTTTCTTTTAAAGAATGGTATCGTAAAGGCATCACAAAAGTTAAGCACTTAAGGAACAGAGAAGGAAAATTCCTCACTCCACCAGAACTTTTAAACAAATACGACATCAAGGTCCAACCCTTGGCATACTGTGGAATAATTTCTGCTCTTAAAAAGCTATGCAACACATTCAACCAAGGTGACCACACAAACGAAGGTAATAGTTTCGAAAGCTTTTCGACAAAACTAATGAAAGCCCAAAAAGCAAGCAAGTTGGTGTATGACAAATTAATTACAAAGAAAAGTGCCCCCCCTACTACAAGCCAGCAAAAATGGAACCAAGACTGCAACTTAGGTCAAAACGAAATAACGTGGGGTGCGACCTACCAGCTAGCTCATAAAATCACAAAAAGCATAAAACTCAGGGAATTTCAATTTAAATTGCTGCACAGAAGAATACCAACAAACGCTTTCTTAACTAAGATAAGAGTAAAAGAAAACTCCAACTGCTCCTTTTGTAAAAAGAACCAGAAAAAACTCGTACACCTTTTCTGGTCCTGCCCCAAAACGGCGCTCTTCTGGGAGAGCATCATAACGCGATTAAAACTTTGCCAAATTATTCCCGATAGTTACTCTGCAGACATGACTGTTTCACTAGGCCTGAGATCAGACTCTTCTAAACTTCAACGCCAGATCAACTTTTGTTTTCTTATTGCCAGGCACTATATCTGGCTCTGCAAAACAAAAAAGAAGCTATACCTCTATTGCAAGGATTTCTCAAACACCTAAAGACAATTTACAACATACAAGCACAAGCAGAAGCAAACAATGTTCTGCCCAAACAATGGTCATTCCTACACGACATCACGTAGAAACTATCGTTTCTACCATGGCGCTATTCCCAACGCCCCTGATATTCTCTATGTCTTTCATCCGTAGCTTAGCCTGCCTCAATAACGCCAACTATCCTTAAATAAGTTTCTTCCGATGCAACTGTGTACTTGAAGCATACGAAATGTAATAATGTTTGAAAACAGTAGTATTGTTAGCAATGTAAGCAATAAGTATTGTCAGTATTGTAAGTATGGTATGAATGTTGTAAATAATGTAAGCAGTGTAAGCAGTGTTCAATATTGTAATTATTGGGTTAAGTAAAGCAAATAAAAAAAAAAAAAAAAAAAAAAAAAAAAAAAAAGTTATCATGTAATGAGTGCAAAAACTCGTGTTTTGAAGTGCTGCTGTTTGTTGTTTGACTGAACTGAGTTTTCTGAGTTTTGAGAAAGGTCAACGCTATTAAATCGAGAGTTATGATTGGCTTATGATGACTTTAGAGAGAAGACGTGACTTGATCACGGTACTAAAACCATATTTTTTACCTAAAAGACTCCATTCTACTAGAAGTTATTTTATAAAAGCAATAGACCACACTTTCTATGGGTTTACCGGCGTGATAACCCACTTGGGATGTTGTGAGTACACTCGAAAAGCTTGTAAATCACTCGCCTTCGGCTCGTGTTTTGCAAGCTTTTCTCGTGTTCTCCCAACATCCCGCGTGGGTTATCACGCCGGTAAACCCATAGAAAGTGTGGTCTATTGCTTAAATTACCCGGACCTTAAAGGAGCTGTGTCACGAAATTCCGCAAATTAGGAAATTACAAAATGCCCGTTAAATTAAGAGAAACATAAAAATAACAGCTTAAAACTTTAAAGGACAGTTAAAATAACATAACAGAAACAACAGATGCCACGGATGGGCAAAACTGAAGAAGATTGAAACGGATTGAAATTAGGGTTTTTGAAAACTGTTCAGCCTAACAGTTTTTCAAAGTTGATCCCTGCTGCTTGCAACTTCAAAAATAATGTTCAGGAGGCACATTTGTTTGTCTCGGATCTCTGATTTTGTCATATTCCTTTCATTTCTTTGCTTACTTTAATTTACATAGTAATTGAGGGTGAGTAATTGGCCAAATTAAACAAAATGAACTGGATTGCCGTGACACAGCCCCTTTAACGACAGTCTATAAAAATCCTTACCGGGCAATGTTATGAGTACTTCGGCTCTTACAACAGAATCTTCACCATGCTCAGAATCCATCCGCCGTACTTCCGGTTCACCGGGGAGATATGTTTTCCTAAAGTTCAACAACATTCTTTCATTCGTTTTTGCATCCACTGCTATCCACGGATGAGTCACAAAAGTGTTCATACCCAGTTGACCGTTTGTAAGCAGAGTAGAGTAGCACACCTCCTGTCCTTCATAGTTTATCCAGATTACACGTACTGCCCTTCCTGTTCTGTTGATGAATCTCACAGGGGACTTGACAAAGCTGTGTATAGACTTGTAAGGAAGTACGGGTGGATTTTCTTCGACTTCTTGTTCTTCCATTTTACAGCCAGTCACAACTTGAAAGTTGTAAAAGCTGATGTACCAGTGTGATTGGTTGTCCGAGTCACGACTAGTCACGACACTCTATGATCTGAGCCGACACTATTTTTGTGGCCAGTGGACTGGTAAAAATATAGCTATTACTTCATTTAGGATGCACGAAATATGAGTCATATTATCGCACGGTGCAGTGCAGGCGTTTTTTACACAGGGTCCAGAGGAGATGTGTTTGTCGTTAGAAAATCAAAACCCGTCGAAAACCTCCGAAAAAATGGGTTATTTTGATCGCGTTACAGTTTCGTTACACATTCTATAGACACAGACCGCAAACCAAGAGACTGAGGGGTCGCAGGATCGGCTTACAGTTAGCCTGCGTAGCAAGCGTTTCCAATCGAGTTATTACGCGAAGGTTAGAGCGGAAGCAAAAAAAAGGTTGAAGGGGGAGGGGGAGGGGAGAAGAAGGTTCCTTCGTTCCCCTCCCCCTCCCCGTCATTCATTTTGTTTGCTCTTGTCCCAGCTTTCTAGACGAACCTCGCGAGGAAACGCTTGCTACGCAGGCTAGCTTACAGTATAAAATCTTTTACTCGGCACTTCGCGACGGGCCTTCGGTCACCCTCGGGCGACGTGCCGTGCGCCAGCGAGGATATGGCTTGCGGTTATTGATTCTGGATCACACGAAACCCTGTGTTTTTACGGACGCGCGGTTTTAACCCGGGGGGGGGGGGTACTCCCATACATTACCCATACGGGTATGTGCCGCCCAACGGGGTCGTGATTTTGAAGCTCCTGATTTCGAAGGGGGTATCCATTTCAGAGGCGTTTTCTAGAACGGGGTATAAAAAATTGTCGATCACGGCTTTATCTTCTGCTTAAAATTGTTGCTGATTATGAAGAAGCATTTATTTGATGTATAAGTCGAACAAATAAAGAAATATCTTTTTTTAAAAAAACAGGGCTATTTCAATTTACAAACTTTCTAAAACGGAGTATGAAAAATGGCTCATTTCTAGAACGGGGTATCAGTTTTAGGGCGAATTCTAGAACGGGGTATAAAAAATTGGCCCATTTCTAGAGCGGGGTATCAACTTTAGGGGAAATTTTTTTAGAACGGAGTGCCAATTTGGAGTCCCGGGCGGCACATACCCACCCAAAAAATACCCAAGTGCCCCCCCCCACGGGAGTTTTAACCAGCTGCTTTCGCTTGCCCAAAATAGGCCTGATAGGGGCGGATCTAGGGGGAGGGTGCAGGGGGTGTGCACCCCCCTGAGATGACCTACGGTTTTCTAATTCAGAAGTAGAGCAAGAGACGAGTGCACCCCCTCCTAAAAAAAAGCCTGGATCCGCCCCTGAGGCTAGATGCTCAGCAAAACAAAGAACGGAGTGAAACAGGGTAAAATGATCTAGTTGACTGTAAACAAGAGAGGAGGATATTTACCAACGCCCCAGTCAATACCAGCAGGATTTGGGTGTCGTCACTTTAGATAAAAAATTCCAGCCCTTCCCATCCCATACCCAGCCTGAAAGAGCAATTATCATGTCTTCTTGCAAAAAAAGTTAAAAATCGCATAACCTGTAGCCTCCCACGCAGGCGTTGAGCTCCCCTAAAAACGCCTGCGTGAGAGGCTACATAACCTGTGGAACAGTAATCTTTTTGTTTGCACCTCCTGAAAAACGCAAAAGTAACGCCTGTTCTTGAAACAACAAATCTACGCAGTAAATAAATCCGGAGGAAACAGCAAATGCCAAAAACACATTGGCAAGAGTGCTTTCTTATTTCTTCATTGCAAAAACTATACTTATACTTCGACGAACTGAGAGTTTTCCCGATATTTCAGACTTAACCGCAAGAAGAAAATAAACCCTTTTTAAACTCTCGTTTTGTAAGATAAACCTTAGCAGAGAAATCATCGCAGACAGTGAGCATTTTTAACCCTTCAAAGCATTAACAAAGCGTCAAATGCGGGCCTCCATTGAGTATTTTCGAGTCCCCCATATTACACACTAGCGTTTGCTCCCCAAATCTTGCAAAAAAACTACGCGGTACGGTACAGTACGCGGAAGGGGCGCATTACCTGTAGAGTTTGGATATAGTATGAGTGAACCAAGGTTAGAAGTCTTTGTTCGTTGCAGAGGCTTAGTCTGTGTACACACGCCCCCCTCCCCTCAGAAAAAAATCGGGGATATTTTCAGGGGAGGTGGCGTCTGTACACAGGCTACAGAGGGTGGGAGAAGGGATTAGGAAATATATTGCACTGTATATCAACGGATTTCGCCGACCCACCTCCCGGCTTCGCGCTTATAATAAAACTGAGCCTCCTTACGAGAACACAGTAAAATTTCGAAAATAAGCCCCAGGGCTTATACTTTTCAAAGGCCCTTTTTGAGGGGCTTATTTTTGGAAGGGCTTAACTACGGAGAAAAATTTGATTTTCAAAACCGATTGGGCTAGCCTTATGGTTGGAAGTAAAGTTACCGTTTTTGCTTTGTTTTACTTTGCATTTGAGGGACGTTTTCCGAGTACAAGCCCCGGAGGTCTTATATTTGGAGGGGCGATTTAACTGAGGGTTTTTTGCGTTACCGGTTTGGGGGGCTTATACATGGAGGGGCTTATTTTTGGAATTTTACGATAAGGAGGGGGACATGGGGGTTTACGGTATTGCGGTATTGGGCTTTTTTTCATGCGGTCTTTCGGTAATTTTAATTTTAACGTGCGGTATTGCGGTATCATCTAGCTCTGCGGTGTGTGCGGTTTTTCATCATTTTGGCTGACGGTATTCGGTGAAATAAGATTGTTCACGGTATTACGGTACCGTTTATTTGAGTGGAAGCAGGGCTGGAGGTGATTTCGTTTGATATAAATTTTACTTCTTTGCTGACATGTACTGGGTATGAGGTCCTCTTAGTGAAGGGTGGGGGGGGGGGGGAACACATGTCCCTAGCTGAATTTCAAATATGGTCATAATTTTGCATTTTTAGGAGTAGGCTATGTCCCTGTCGGTATTTAACCTATCTTAATGTCATTTGTCACCACCTCATCCAGTCTCATGTTGCTGTTTCAAGGCCAGGTTGCTTGTCAGAATTTTAAGCTAACAGGGCCTCCAATATGTACACCGAGGGACTTAGATTACTCAACTGGGGTCCTGTAGCAGCTGCTCACAAGAGAAGTCACTATGGTGCCTAACCCTGACTCCAAACAATACTGAAACAATTGAAAGAATGACATATCATTGTTTTGTGCAACCAACCAGGAGAGACCTTACAAGCAGCTCCTACTCAACTTTCACTTTACACAACCTTATCCTTCTACACTTAACAGTCAAATATTTGTATTTCCAATATTAGCTTTATTAAATTTTATAAATAGTATTTGCTTCATACATACTGGAAAGTACTTGTTTATACTACTCCTCCCAGCTGGACACTCCATGTTTAGGGGATTCTAAAGGTTTTACATTACTACTCAACACTATAAATCATCAAACAAACATGAAGGACGTAGACTATGATAACCAAACAAAATGATAAGATAACCTCATGCACAAAATATTTTTATTTGTTATATAGACACGAGTGTTTTACTGGAAAATATACCACTCGTAAAATTCATAAAAACTACATCTGGGACCCGAGTGTTTTATTTTCAAAAAATCTCACACGTGAGTTTATCGATGACGTAATTTCGGTAATTTCCCTCTATTATTTTAACGATATCTTTTTGTCTATATAATAAAAAGAACATTACAAGGCAGCTTGAAGATACGAATTTTATTTTCTCGTGGCAAAAAACAATATTTTACTCACTTGCTGCGCTCATTTGTAAAATATTGTTTTGCCACTCAAAAATAAAATTCAAATCTTCGCGCCGCCATGTAATATCCTCTATTTACTATTCCTTTCACTCTGCACACTCCAATTACAAATGAGTAGCAATGAGTAATATAAATAATGACAGACTGTGGAGAATGGCATCCTAAGATTATTTCATAATCTTATCTTTAATTCTCCTTACGATTCCTTAATAATCTTAGAGGAGGAAAATGGCAGAGATTTCAGCCACATGTAAACGAATTGACTTGAAAAGCTAATATTAAAATACTGGTATGTATGGCAATACATTGAAATGGTTGCTATTGTGGTCATTTGTAACCTCACAAACTTCTATGTTACCCAAGTCTTACGCCACTTGCACATCTCCCATAATGCACCCTATTTGCCTCCCAAAAGTTGGCATAACCTTTGTTTTTCATTTCTATTGAATATTACAGCCGCCCCAAGAGAAATTGAAAACAATGCTTGTGCAAAATTTTGGGGGGCAAATAACATGCATTATATGGGAGGTGTGCAAGGGCATATTAAAAGAAATTCCAAGCTGAATTTAATGTTCTTCTTCTGGCAAGTAACTTTCGCTTTTCGCACTTGCGCTGTATGTTAAATGACCAGCTTATTTTTAATATTTCATAACACCTTTGAATGACATCTTTAAAGCTGTATTTGTAATTCAAGTTTTCTACATAATGCTTTAAACACTGCTATTCCTTAGGTCTGACCCGTCATACCACATACATGAAAATGACTTGAATCATGATGATGTCCGAGAAATTTTCTCAAGAATCAGTGGTGGAAGAGGAAGTTTATGGATGTCTTGTGGAGAAACAATGTTCTTCAGGGTCTTTACACAGTATTCTTCAAGCTTGCAGACTATAAGAAAAAAATAGAAATTTAAGAAATAAAGAATACTGAACATTACTTGTCATTCATTAGTGTCACAAATTAACAAAAAAACTGCTTCTGAATAAATATGTTTTCCATAAAAAAGACAGCTACAACACCAAATGGATAACACTTTGAAAACTGACCTAGATTAGATTCTTTGTTTAAGACTAGATGCTAGAACTGTCATGTTTTAAAATGTTCATGTTTTTACAGGGAACTAAATCCTGGAATGAACTACCACTGTATTTGAAAATCTGAATCCCTTGATGTATTAAGCAATGGTTTAAAATCCTATGAACATAAAAAGAGGCAGCCTGGCTGAGTGGCTAGTCAGGCCTCAAGTTCAAGTAAGAACCTGACTGCTTGCTGGATTTGTTCCCAGCAGTCCTGAATTCAAATCCTTAACCACACTTGTAAATGAACAACTAGTTCAGAGCTGTGCTCTAGCAGAGCCCGATGTAGATTGTGAATATACAGCTGTTTCTCCTTGCTTTTCACTACTCAGGACGTTTTGCCCAGGGAAGTCTGCAACTCAGTGACAGAAATTCCATACTGATGGCATAAAATCAGTCCAAAATCTGGTAAGAAGCTCTGATTGGTCGATGTAGTAGTTATATCGTTTTACCTATTGTTTATTAAATGACAGACAAAAGGCCACAAAGGCCAAATGTAAAAGTGATGAATCTGTTACAAAACAGTCAATATTCTTAGAATAGATTCTTCTTTAAAAAAAGCATCTGAGTTTTGCAGGAGCTCGTTCGCAAAAGATCACAAAACTTTACTATAATTGACCAGGAGAAACATGAAATCAAACAAATTTACATTTGGAACCCCATGAATACCGGATTTATTATGTAAACATTAATTTACGTCATCAGTATAGAATTTCTGTCACTGAGTAGCAGACGTTTCTCCTGGCAAAATGTCTGGCAGCGAGAAGCTAGGAGAAACGGCTGTATTCACAGGCTAAGCCCGATGGTCCCTGGCGTCTAACTTTTCCTATCAGGCAACTACAAAATCTTAGTTTTTTCATACAAATCATGTGCTGGGCATCCTGGATTTTACAGGTCCAGAGCATTGGGCTCCCTTCAATTTTCCTTAGAGCACAGCCTTGTAGTTTGCCTCCAGCTAAGTTGGGATTCTTAACCTGAGTTAATGTTTTATATTTTAGTCTGAACTGAAACCATGAGATTATCAATATTTCAGTATTGTTTTAGATTTTATCTTTAGTTCGTTCAAATTCATTAGTATCAAATTTCACTTTACTCTGGTGAAATTTCATCTTTTCGGTCAATATGCATATGTTATTTTTAGCATTTTATTTATTTTGTAAATTTTTTATGTCTACGTAACCCTTATCGAGGAATGTTTTTCTTATTTTAGGGTTTTTCCTTCAATTTTTAATTTCAAAACTATATAAGCTAAAGGTTTCTCAATTCATGAAACAAATATTTACATTTTTACACTTCTCAAGAAATAGAGGTCGTACAAAATGCCACAACCGTTATGTTAGTCCCAATTCGTAAAACAGTCAGTGTTTCGAGTGGATTACTTAAGTTTTATGAACCAATAAATTCCCAAGGGAAGCCAGCTGTAGGTGTGAAGTGTGAGGTTACCTCAAAAGATTTAAAAGTGAAGTTTAATCAAGCCACCAGTCATGCTAGTTAAGGTCGTTTGGCCAAATTAACGATTTAATTTCTTCAATTGATCTTCAACGTATGTATACACAAACGAGGATTTTGGCAGTTCAGGCGTTTCACGGAGATCACTTCAATCTTGATTCACAGGACAGTTTTCAGTACATCACGATTCACGGACACCAAAAATGGTCGATATCACGTACGGCGTCACTAAAATAAGCTTCCCCCCACCCCTCCCCCCCGCTCATCTGGATCTTGAAACAGGTTGATTTGTACCATTCGAACAAGAAGTGTGAATAATGGGTGCTTCGAGGGCGCACAACTATAATTTACTGCCTGGAATATTTTTGAATTACCCGGATCTTAACGACAGTCTATAAAAATCCTTACCGGGCAATGTTATGAGTACTTGGGCTCTTGCAACATAAGCTTTACGATTCTCAAAATCCATCCGCCGTACTTCCGGTTCACCGGGGAGATATGTTTTTCTAAAGTTCAACAACATTCTTTCATTCGTTTTTGCATCCACTGCTATCCACGGGTGAGTCATAAAAGTGTTCAAATCCAGTTTTTTGTTCGTGAGAAGAGTAGTTTTTAACACCTCCTTTCCTTCATAGTTTATCCAGATTACATGTACTTCCCTTCCCGTTCTATTGATGAATCGCACAGGGGACTCGACAAAGCTGTGTAAAGACTTGTAAGGACGTACTGGGGGATTTTCTTCGACTTCTTGTTCTTCCATTTTAAATCCAGACGCAACTTGAAAGTTGTATAAGCTGATGTACCAGTGTCTTCGTTGTCCGAGTCCGTCCGTGAGGACCGTCACGACATCCTATGATCTGAGCCAACACTATTTTTGTGGCCAGTGGACTGGTAAAAATAAGGATACTACTTCATTTAGGATGCACGAAATATAGGTCATATTATTGTATGGTGCAGTGCGGGCGTTTTTTTGCGGACGCGCGATTTTAACACTAATACGAACACATTAAAAACAAGCAGCTTTCGCCCGCCCAAAATACGCCTGCACTGCAGGCTAGATGCTCAGCAAAACAAAGAACGGAGTAAAACAGAGTAAAATGATCTAGTTGATTGTAAACAACAAAGGAGGATATTTAATTTACCAATGGCCAAGTCAATTGCAACCAGAAGGATTTGGGTGTCGTCACTTTAGATAAAAAATTCCAAGCCTGCCCATCGCATACCCAGCAAGAAAGAGCAATTGTCATGTCTTCTTTATAAAAAAAGTTAAAAATCGTGTAACCTGCTGAACAGCCATCTTTTTGGTTGCACCTCGTGAAAAACTCTAGCCTGTTCCAGGCTCCGCCGGAGATAGTCGGGCCCGCTGAATTGAGAATGCGCGTCTTTTACTTTTGCGTCTTCCCCACTATCTGAGAGCTTGGAACAGGCTAGAAAAACACAAAAAGAAACGCCTGTTCTTGAGACAACAAATCTACGCAGTAAACAAATCCGGAGGAAACAGCAAATGCCAAAAACACACTGGCAAGAGTGCTTTCTTATTTCTTCATTGTAAAAACTATACTTATACTTCGACGAACTGAGAGTTTTCTCCTGGTTTTCGCGATATTTCGGACTTACCTGGAAGAAGAAATTCCTGACCTTCCAAATTTTACCATAAGACAGAATAAGAAAATAAACCCTTTTTAAACTCTCGATGTAAGATAAAGCTTCCCATAGAAATCATCGCAGACAGTGAGCATTTTTATCTCTTCAAATTATCAACAAAGCTTCCAATGCGGGCCTTCATTGAGTATTTTCGATTTTGAGTGAACCGACGTTAGAAGACTTTGTTCGCTGCAGAGGATTAGTCTGTGTGTACGCACGCCCCCCCTCCCCTCATAAAATTTTGGGGATTCTTTAGGGGAGGTGGCGTCAGTACACAGGCTACAGAGGGTGGGAAAAGGGATTAGGAAATATATAGCACTGTATATCAACGGATTTCGCCGACCCACCTCCCGGCTTCGCGCTTATAATAAAACTGAGCCTCCTCAGAAGAATACCGTTAAACTCCAAAACTAAGCCACGGGGCTTATATGTTTCACAGGCCCTTTTTGAGGGGCTTATATTCGGAGGGGCTTATCTACGGAGGGAAATTTGCGTTTCAAAATCGATTGGGCTAGCCCTATAATTGGAAGTAAATTTACCGTTTTTGCTTTGTTTTACTTTGTATTTCAGCGCAATTTTCCAAGTACAAGCCCACGGGGGGCTTATATTTGGAGAGGGGCGATTTAACGGAGGGTTTTTTGCGTTACCGGTTTGGGGGGCTTATACATGGAGGGGCTTATTTTCGGAATTTTACAGCAAGTACCGATTTTTGCACTCAGGGCAATGTTTCTTCTGAGCTGGCCAGTCTCGGTTCTTTGTTTTTAAAAGTACTCAAAAATAAAGAAAAGCTAGAAAGAAAAAAGGATTCAGTTGTTACTAGCGAGAGTATGAAGGAACAGTTCGAAATTTATCTTTATTGTCTCTCATTCATTCAATTTACATTATTTTATTTTCTTCAATTCTTGATTTTTCAGTTTTCTGCTTTCAAGTTGTATTATTCACAAAACACTCGACCACCGAAAAATTAACAACTTTCAGGGAGGACAAGTTTTCGGGTAATCCTGTTTCAATAAGTTCTTTAAATCTTCTGTCCACGATAGTTCCGTTGATATCCAACGTTTCCAGCGAGATTGGTTTGCCACTCTCAAATAAAACCTTTACAAATTCATAAGCTCCGGAATTCTTTATCAAATTCTGACCAATACGGAGAATTTTTAACCTGGAGTTACTTGAAACACCCGTGGCAAGGCTTCTGGTAGATTGCGTGGTTAACAAATTCCCGCAGGCGGAAATCTCTACGAGGCCTCTATTTTCAGCGATTATTTCACCGAGAATTTCAGCTCCAGCGTCACGCAAATAATTCCAGGAAATGTTTAGGAAAGAAAGTGTTTTTGTTTTTCTTAACCCTGATGATATGGCCTGCAAGCCCGATGCTTCCAACTGGTTTGAGTAAATGGAAAGCTTTTCAAGAACAAAGTTCTTTTCCAGAACAAAGGACATCTGTTTCGCGAACTGGTCACACAAAATATTACTGGATAGATCTAAATCTTTTAAAAAGGTTTTGCGGCAAAGACAATTCAGAAAGACCTGAACGTCGTGGTCTGTTAAGTTGTTTCTCGAAAGATTCAGTTTCTCTAAAGTCTGATTCTTGTTTAGCATTTCTCCAATAGCAGAAATGGCATTTTCTCCAAGCATATTTCCAGTCAGGTCCAGCTCTCTCACGGAAAAGTTTTCCTCGAGTCCTTTAGCTATAATTTTTCCGCCTTCATCTTTGAGACTGCTATTAGCAAGAGACAAACGAACAATGTTTGCACATGAGGGTAACTCCATTGAAATTCCGGACGCAGTTACTTTGTCCAGAGACCAACCGCTTAAATCAAGATCTTCATCGCTTCGATGCAGCTTGAAGTACTCGAACGCATTTAGTCTCTTTTCGGTTTTTTCCCCATTGACAAGTTCGTCTTCGTCTTTTTTCGCATTTTCGAATGTATTTTCCATATTTAAAATCCTACTTCTTGAGCCAAAGGACAATCTCATATAGTTTGCTATCCTTGGTGATCGTTGAACTTTAGGAATTCCTCTAAGTCTTGGGTCACTCAAGGCTCTCACCTGAATCTGGTTCCATCGCGTAGCGTACGACAGATCGTACGCCGTCATTTTCAAAGCGATCAATCCCCTGAATCTCTTGTCAAGTGCCAAAGATTTCACAACTGAACAGAGCTGCAAAGCGATCCTATGTCAGGATATAAATTCAGCTTGTTTGGCCTTGTACGTATTCCGACGCCGTTGATTGCAGTATAAATGATGATTTTTGTGGCTAGATTATCTTCTTTTAAATATTCCTCACAGGCATTTTGTTTACCCGAGTAATGTTCTTAAAACAGTAATTTTTATTATAGTTTAAGTCTTAACACTGGTAATATGTTAGTAAAGCCAGTTTTCTGTTTTGTTAAGCGGCAATTTCCCTGACTGAGTCGCTCCGTAAATATTGCTAAGACATTGAAGAATGCAAAAGACCTGATTAGCTTTTAAGTCAAGCTCCCCTTAAAAGAGTTAACTAAACTAAACCACTGTTTTTTTTTTTTTGTCACATTACCCAGAAATGCTAGTCTCCAATAGTAAACTCCTTGGTAGAAACTCAGACTGGTCGTCTATCTGTCTTAAGCGAGACGTAAGCTGATTTCAGTGCCGCCACTCGAATGTTCTTTCCGTGAACCTGTTTTTCCTGACCCAGGATGGACTGGTCATTGGCGTCTCATAAAAGAAGAACGTAACATTTTTCTACCTTTCTCGGTGTTTCTTGATGTTTTGGAAACTATTGTACGTTAGCTATTGTGTCGTTGTGTTGTGGGTTCTGCTAAGGATCGTTTCAAACTTTTGTACTATATCACTGGTGATTGCACCAGTCCTCAGGATGAAGAAATACCACCCAGTTTCAGATAACGATATGTGAAATTTCTTTTTCAAACTTTTTGGTCACTTTTTCGTTTGTATCTTTAATTAGTAAGCTCCACTAGCCTGATAAAAAAGTAAAATAAAATAAACACTCGAGGAAAGATATAGAACTAAATAAATTAATGCAGCCCTTTCTTATACTACAGTCCCAAAAAGTCCACTGGGTTCAGTAGTTATGCCTTTATCTCTCCGACTCTCTCCCAGAAATTTAGATAAAAAGCGCGCTTCAGTAACGACCTCTAAAGAAACTGTAGCCCTGTTGAAATTTTAAAATCAGCAGTGCATACAAACAGCTTAAACGTAAAGCGGGTTTTGGAAGAGCCAATGATTACCGCTAAGACCTAATTAGACAAATTATGGAAAGAACCAAAACATGAACGGATAATAAAAAAAACAAGTTTTATAAGGTAGTAATCGTTTCCTGATGCAGTCCGAAAGGCATTTTCTAGGCTTAGCGATCAGTCAGCAAATTCTCCAACTGTTTGTTAACATTTTGTTCGAAAGCGCAATTTAGTCAAGTTGTAGACGAGTCTTGCTCACTTTTCATCTCAATTTTTATTAAACTGACAAAAACTATCAACAGGAACATTAATACGGAAACTGTGTTACAAGTGTAACTGTTTTCGTGTATTGGAAAAAGACACTATCTAAAACGTTTTATCAAAGTTAAAACTTTGTACACGTGTCAAGAGCACGTCGTCGACACTGACGGTGTGATACGATCCAGAGAGCATGTGAAACTTAACAACCACTTTTCGGCTCTTTCGGGTTCCGGAGGACAAACTGTACTGCAATATTTGTTTAGAATACCTCTCTATATAGGCGGGGGGTATCAAGGCCACCTCTTTCTTTAACTCTTGTTTTCCAAGGCTCGGTGTGTGGCGGGGGGTTAGGGTTAGGGTTGGGGGGGTGCAAAATTAACATATAAAGAAAACCCTGACTGACAGGACTGAGCCGCAGGAGGAGCGCCGGTGAAACGATTACGATAGTGGAAGAATATGAAAGGTGGTACGTTCAAAATGAGTATGTGACAGGGTCGACAATGGTGTGGGCAAGTTTTTCGGCAAAATTTAAAAATTTCGTTCAACATGTAAGAAAATACAGCTCACTTTTCTGAGATCGGCTTTTTAATGAAACCATTTCCCAAACTCAAAAGCCTTATGGTAAAATCCCTTTATCCTGTGTCCCGTTCACCAGAACTTTAATAACCTTTTTCTTTCGGATCAAAACACCATCCGAATATTCGCATGTTTATTTGCGAAAGCTCGTAATTTCACAATTGTTATAACTTATTATACAACCTAAAGCAAATTCTTTAATTATCATAGAATATTAATACATAGTTACCTATGGAATAGCAAATCTTGCGAATGTGAAAAACATTTAGTCGCAAAAGGAAGATAAAGAATGTGTCAGTCAAATGGTATTTTCAAATCTGTCTATTAGCTCGACTTGTTATAGAGTACACCAGCGGAACTAGATTTTGACAGTGCTCCATAAAGGTCGGTACACACCAGTTGCAGCAACACGTCGCGGCGACGGATGACTCCATGTGTACAGGTCAGGCGACAATAGAGGTTTGACCGTATTTTCTTAAGCCTGAGCGACAAATCGCTTCGTGCGTGCTGGAGAATTTTTGTGAAAATCTTTGTCTCCGCAACAGAATTTTGCCACTGCAACAAGTCGCAAAAAATTAAATCAGACTGCATTTGTGCTACTTGTTGCGGCGACAAAGATTTTCACAAAACTTCTTCAATACAGATAGTGTGTACCGACCGGATATTTGAACTGTTTTAACCTGAGATCAGGCTCTATTTTCGTTTCGCTTTGTAAATAACATTCAGGCGGGCATGGCGAAACGAAAAGAGAGAATGTATGAGAACCGCTCAAATTGGGCCTGATCTCAGGTTAGAGCTGTTTAATCCGGATGAGGTTAAAGGATACCAAACTTTCATTTTGCCAAAAATAATAATAATAATAATAATCTCTGCATAATAACAATAATAATACAAAGAGCATTGAAAAATTCTAGTCAATATACTGAATCTGAACGAGTGAAAAGGAGTTCCGACCCGGCACAGACTCGAAAGTTACTGACCAAGTGAAGTGAAATTAACGAGGTTTCTAAGGACTCTGCCACAGCGTTACTTGGAAAATCGCAAAGATGTTACAACGAAAATATAAATTTAAAAATGCTTCAGTGGTGCTAACAACTACATTAGTAAGTTATATAAGCACTAGAACCATTTACCGTTGTGTCTGGTCAACGTAATGCTGAGGAAATAAGAACAAGTTCAAAACTCAAACTTGCTTTTCCAAGTTCACGTCATCGTGTCTCGGAAAAGTTGCAAAAATTGATACCCGTTATAAATTTACCTCTTAGATTTAATAGTTCAGAAAAAAATTTTGACAAAAATATTTCGCGTTATTGCCCTTTAAAGAGCACACAAGAGGTTCCTAGTCAAAAATAAAGATACAGAAGAAAGCGAGACATCAAACGGTTTTTTGAAAGTTAAAAGTTTTTCATCTGTACGCCTTGTTCATCTCCTCCACGCTAAACCTGACCATCTTTGTCACCCACAATATTTTGAGGTTTTCAACAATTTCGACTCGATATTTTGTGGCAGAGCGATATTACGTTAACTGCCTTTTAGCACCAAAGGGCAACAAATAAAGGCCTCTGTTACTTAAAAAACGTATTATCTCCATAAGTACACGGTGACTCTCTTAAAGGAGAATATACGAGTCCATCAGGAAAACTATTACATACTACCAAACTTTAACAGCTAACGAACCTATTCTTAGGAATAAAAAAAATATCAATTATATAATACTATCAATACACATAAACTTGATAACTCTTATGCAAAATAATAAGCTTTAAATTCCACATAAAGTTAGTTTTGCTGAACCCTTCGCTCTTCCTGTCGTTAGTTTAACCCTTTAAGCCCTAAGAGTGATCAGCATCCAATTTCTCCTTGTAATATCAATGCTTTGTAAAACAGAGTGGTCATGAGAATTAGGGACATGATCACACAAGATGAATTTGCTTGATATTTTATCAACTTCTCCCCACCACTTCTGTGGGATATGAATAGGGGCAACAAATGAGAATTCAAATTTTGATCTCAGGGTTTATAGGGTTAATAAGGTACATAACACTGTAGTCAAAACAATTCTTTGTCGCTTCCAACTTTCAAATAAACGCCGCCCTCGAATAAGCGCCGCATTTGAGGCGTGAAAACTAATACGCACCCGGGCGCTTATTCGAGTAAATAATGTATTCAAACCCCATTAAACACGAACCCGTACAGGGTTTTCAACCCATAGGAACAATGTGTGGTTTACCGCTGTGCACACTGAGATTACGGAGCTTAAGCCACCGCGAAGAGGAAGAGAGCGAAAACGTTACTTAAAAAGTCACTTTGTGCTGTTTCAAAAATACGTCGCAAATATTCTAGCCAGTTCAATTCGCAAAATGTTGGTGAAATTTTCCTCCCACTGACTTCTTAGTATAGGTAATAGCATGATTTGTAGTGATATTTGGCATAAATACCACGAGTGATATTTCGAAATTGTTATACGTAATTTCACGAGCCGTTAGGCGAGTGAAATTTGAGACAATTTTGAAATATCACGAGTGGTATTTATGCCAAATATCACGTACAAATCATGCTATTATTTGTTTCTACTACTACCCGCAAAAGGTTTGTAATTTTCACATGTAGGTATTTCAAATTAAGCTGAAATACCACTGCTCTAAACCAATCACATTGCAGAAATTTCTCATGTAGTAGTATAAAGGGCCGTGACTAAGTTCGGAAAAAGAAAATAGAAAGTCGTTGTTGTGCATTTACGTCCATAAAACGTGAAGTCAATGAAATTTCAGGCCGGAGCTGTGCGATGACTAAGAAATGCAACAAATATAGTGATAAATATGCAGTTGTTGTTTTACTCATTAAACCTTCAAGCCCTAAGAGTGATCAGCATCAAATTTCTCCTTGTAATTTCAATACTTTGTAAATCGGAGTGGTCGTGAGAATTACGGACATAATCACACAAGATGAATTTGCTTGATATTTTATCAACTTCTCCCCACTACTTCTGTAGGAAATGAATAGGGGCAACAAATAAGAATTCAAATTTTGATCTTAGGATTTAAAGGGTTAAACTTTTATAGGTTTTAAGACGTTCTCGTTTTTGTCGTCGTGGTGGTTGCTAAGCGACTCCCTATTATCTGTTTCCGAACTTATCCACGTAAAGCGACGGACGTAAAGTGGACATGGAAGCCCCATTGGGCTGTGGTTTGGTTGAAAAGATAGTCGTCTTTTAAACAGACTCAGCAATATAAATTTGGTAGTGTCCAGGATATAGGCCTCAATTAGTTTCTGCGTTAATGATTTAATTTAGCTCCTTTTTTGTTTCCGAACTTATCCCGTAAAAATTCGTGTCAATAGGCACTAGAACGACAAGACACTTTAATAAAGGTTATGTTATGTTATGTTATGTAGCCTTCGTAAAGCAACAGACTTGCCAGGCAATGTAAATACGACATCATTGGAACTTAGTATAAAAGGCAGGAAACGCCCAAACCATGACATAAATACTTCTGTGATCAATAGGAGGAAAAACATTGGAATAAAAAAGGATGCCAAGGAATAATTTTGCCTATCAATACGAGACTGGCTTAATTTCTAAAGCTAATTCATGCAAATTTTTGCGTGTTGACGGCCATGATGAAAAAGTTGCCATCATTGAGTCAAAGAAACAAGGATGTACACTTTCTTCATCGCGTACAATAAATTACAGAAGGCTTCTGAGGCTGTTAAAACAGCCGACATCTCGCGACGCCACCATTGATTACCCTGCGAGATGACGTCTGAGAAACGAGTAGAGAAATTTCATACTGTAGACGAGTCAATAGGCTGATTTATCAACAGGACGGGAACGTCAGTTGACCACGGGAAAGCGCGCGGAAAGGACTAAACTCGACTTCCGGTGCCCAATTTGCCGCTCTGCCATTGGTCAAGTCAGTTGTTTGTTTTGCGGGCGCCGTTGTCAATTGACGTTCCCGCTCTGTTGCTAAATCAGCCTAATATCTTAATCTGGGTAGTGCGTCTGAGTGGTTGAAAATTTGCTTCAATCAATCAGAAGCACTACCTACAATCTTGGACAAAATAAATGGAAAACCTAGACCCCCCCTCCCCCCCAAATTAAGGATGGGAAAATGACGTGTTTTTGCCCTTCGCGCGCCTTCATCCTTGATTTGGGGGGGATGGGGGTTTGCTGTTCCTTTTTATTTTGTCCAAGATAATCTTGGACAAAATAAATGGAAAACCTGGACCCCCCCTCCCCCCCAAATTAAGGATGGGAAAATGACGTGTTTTTGCCCTTCGCGCGCCTTCATCCTTGATTTGGGGGGGATGGGGGTTTGCTGTTCCTTTTTATTTTGTCCAAGATAATCTTGAACAAAATAAATGGAAAACCTAGACCCCCCCTTCCCCCCAAATTAGGGATGGGAAAATGACGTGTTTTTGCCCTTCGCGCGCCTTCATCCTTGATTTGGGGGGGATGGGGGTTTGCTGTTCCATTTTATTTTGTCCAAGATTGTAGACCTGAGTAGTGACGCGTCATCATTAAGGAATTTTTGTACTCGTTTCCCTGACGTCATTTCGCGGGGAAACGCGTGATGGCATCGCGAAACGTCGGCTGTTTTCTCAGGCTAAAGGCCTGTGTGGATAAATTTTATCAAATTACTGTTTGCACTCTCAAAAATGTTTCTTGAGTCTTCGCAACCGGTAATTTCTCTTCCCAAGGTCGCTCCTTGAAGTCTCACTTTTTTCAATCCCTGAATAATGATTACCAGCTGCGCTCGTCCCAGCTTATATTATTCTCATTCTAAACGTTAATTATGCCGCAAATTAAATAATTATATAGTCATAGCCCAATAAGTGACTCGCGTCGCAGACGAAACTAAAACTAAACACAGGCTACCCAATAACAGTCTCGCTGAACACAATCACCTCTCACTAACCACAAATAAACCCTTGTATATTAAATCTAGTCTCAAGGTTCACAACTGTCATCGCAGTGAAGCCATCTACGACATCTCGCAGTCTTCATCAGCAAAAACAGAGACTAATCGAAGTCGTCTTATGACTCGTGTTTTTAGTGACGTGACAACAATTGGTCTATAATCGCTGTTGGGTCATAAGTTTCAGCACAGTTAACCCTTTAAGTCCCGATATCCACATACAAATTCTCCAAACTGATCTCTATATATTTCGTAAAGAATGAGTTTAGAGAAGTTGATAAAAGATCACAGTATTTTCTCTTAAGTGATCATTTTATTAATTTTCATAACCTAATCTCTTGACAATCTATGAAAATTGTTAGGAGAAAATTGATGTTGGTCACTATTGGGACTTAAAGGGTCCGCCGGACTTACCCTGCGAGCAGAGGTTTCTTTCTTGCATGGCTTTTAGCGTTTACGAAGTCGTTCGCGTCGGTTGTCAGTCGCGTAATATAAAACAAACCAACTACGCGACTGACAAGCGAGGCGAAACACTTCGTAAACAATAAGAACTGACCGTCCAACATGAACTTCAGCACCCCAATTTCATTTTTGATGTTTGCCGGCCTTCATATCCAGTCTTCTCTAATATGGTTTTAATGTTTTATATTTTGTGGACGTTAAGACTAGATTTTTAATATACAAGTACTCAATTCCAAGGTCAATAAACATCCATAGTATTACAAATAAATAGTTTTGACACTTTTTGTTTACGAGCCAAAAATTTCCCTCAGTCTATTAAGTTTCAGAAATTCACCATGGCCGCCAGACACAAGCAATTCCACTCCCCATTCCCCTATCTAAGATGCACCGTCATTCACGACGAGGTCATGGGGATAGCGGAATTAGCCGTGCTGTTGCTGGTCGCGCTATCAACGCCAGGCGACTTCGGCTGCTCGGAACTCGTGTGATTTCCGTTGCTTCCTGGTTGCGTCGTTATTGGTTCATCGTCGTCTTTGACGTCATCAAATTCGAATTCTTCCCACTGTTCATCGGGAACTGGCTTACACTTACCACAGCAGAAATTACAACAAAAGAAACAACAGCAGCAGAAGTAACAGCACGTGATGATACCGCAGAACATAAACAGCGCCTGTTCGAAAAAGAGCATGCACACGTGATTATTCACCCGGTTTCAAAGGGTTCCTTTTGTTATTTTCTGGGCCCGGTTCCTCGAAAGATGGTTAACTTTAAACCCAGAATTAAGCCAAAAATCACGCAAAGTTTTGTCGTCTAAGAACATGCAACTCGAGGTTACAAAATACTGTCGAGTCTTTACTACGAGAAATAGTAATGGTAACACAAAATTTTACCCTAAGCAATGCATAGAAATGAAAAAATACAAAAACGGAACAAAATGTTAGTCCGGGATTCACGTTAATCGGCCTTTCAGGAACCGGGCCCTGGTTGTCAAATGTCAATCGGTCACATGGTACAAGAACACCCTGCTGTACGGCAAAGACCCTGAGTGCTTCTCTGCAAAGGGTCCATTACATGTCCCAAATTATCACGGGGTAAACAATTTAACGGAATAAAATTTGTATGGGTTGCAAGAATATTGGGACGGCACCTATGGGCCATCGTATGTTCCGACAAGGTGAATTTCAAAAGAGTTTACCATGGACAAATATAGCCATGGGAAGGATATGACAAAATTTATAGTCGCTTCGGCTTACTGAGAGAGCCTTACGTTATTTAGCATTTTCTAAAAGTTTAAGGAAAATCCGGTTGGAAAGCCAATGGATTAAGACTTTTTGGATCGTTCCAGTGGAAAATTTCCGGGAGAAAGAACAACTACAAAGGTATTGTCCTGTTTTCCGGACGGAATGTTCCAAACGGAAATTCGTGTTCCACTTGTGACATTGCATCTCGTGTCAGGCCTTCGCGGCCGTTTTTCGGTAAATGGAACTCATTTGTACCGATGGTAAAAGCGATTCCGTGACGAAATTTAATATCGCTAACCATTTGCCCAAACGGTGAACCGACCGGTTTGGCCATGTAATTGGTAAACAACGATAAATAACATATTACATACCCAGCAGTTCATTTTTTTATTTGTTAACTATCAGGAATATGGTATAAGATCTTCACCTACCTTACACCAGCCACTGTTAAGCCTAAAGTATAATTTGACATTCTGAAAAGCATAAAGGAAAGAAAAGGAGTCAAAAATTGAACGGCGCAAGAGCAGAGGCAAATCAAGTAGTTTCGACTAGCTGGGTACTCGAGAAAAGAAAATGGGGACATTTAGACTGGAGCAACAGGCGTAACTTTTAACCACACAATTAAAAACAAAGAGTCAAGCAGTTTAAGGTCTCACTGGAACTACAATATTCTTTGCTTAGGCCACGGCCAAAACGTCCAATTTTTCACGAGAGGAACCAAAATGTCATTTGAGTCGACATTAATTTAGCTTAGTTCGACTGCTGGATCAAATCTTGAACACTCAGTTGGAAAGAAAAAAAACATGGCGCGAAAAAGTATACAATCGAAATAAAAGGTGGAAGCCATCCCCCTCCCCCCCTCCCCTCTCCCCCGTTGCAGAAATCCGTTTGTAAAGGGCACTTATCGTTTTCTCGACGCGAACTGCTCCATATAGTTCTACCGAAATAAATCGCAGCATCTTAATGCCATCTATCCGTTTGAAGCAGACGGATAGAACGCACATGTCGATCCAAACTCAGTCAGACGAACTTAATCTAGGACAAACGACGAACTTGTCATTAACTGACTCACTGTAGCCTAAGAAAACAGACGCGAATTCGCGACGCCACCACTGGTTTTCCCGCGAAATTACGTCAGAGAAACGAGCGCAGAAAGCCATACTGATGACGTGTCACTACCTAGATCTGGATATTGCATCTGATTGGTTGAAAATTTGTTTAATTCAATCAGAACCCTGTGTACCTCAATTAAGACTCGTTTAACGGCCTGATCTATGCCCATAAAAACAAATTTTGGGACTGGGTCGATTGGTATAAATGTGGGTGGGTGGGAGAGTTACTGCGAAAGAGAAAATCTCCAGATTTTAGATCTCCAGAGATTGAAATCTCTCTCATGAATTTCCACAGGTCCGCGATAATTGGCCACAACATTTTCGGCACTCCTGCCTCTCTAGTTACTGTTTTTGCTTTGGCTTAATTTAATTTTTTTATTATCCGTCAAATATCTGTGTATGTGGCGAATCAAACAAACAAAACAAACTTGAGCGCGGGAAAGTGCGTGCAGCAGTCAAGTTTTAATCGTTTTACACCAGATTTGTTGACAAAATGGCGCGAAAATATATCAGCCAATCACAAGGCGTAGTAAACAAGACCGACCATTTATAATAATAATAATAATAATAATAATAATAATAATAATAATAATAGTCTTTATTTCCACACAAGATAAAAAATACATATCTTATGTTACAATATTTGAGTAAAAGTATATATATTTAAGTTATTTACAATAAAAAAATAAAAAAAATAAAAAATAAATACGCGCACATAACTAAATTGTATTTAAAAATTAAGCGATTAATGTAAGAGTTCTTGAATCTATCTGTATTAACTTTCGGATACTGACTTGTTCGATTCCTTAAATTGTAAGTCGATACTTTCTCCTTGGGTAATAGTCCCCTTAGAGGGTGTTGGTCTATGCCAGATACCTTACGAAATACTTTTCTATCCTGCTTTTCAAGAACGTGCTTGATAGAAAATGATTTAGATGTATATTTACGTTTGTAACATCTATGGTAAATGCTTCTTGTGGTAGCCAGCAGCTGAACAGTAGGCCTTTTGCATTAGTTGATCATGTGATCAACTTTCGGTAAACACGAAAACAGTTCGCTTTTGAAAAATTTTGTTAGCACGAGCTGGAAGAGTATATTAAACTTAGGTAACCTGTAAATTTTCAGCCGTATGTCTCAAAAGTAGCGATTGTAACGGCCGCCGAAAATTCGAAGGATTTGTATGAGAAAAACAACTTTTGCCACCCAATCACGCTTCCATACAAATCCTTGCAAATTTCGAGATTTTCAAACTGTCGTGAAATATTTCGTTTCAGAATTTACAAGGAGTCGCATCGAAAACCACCCAAGCGTGACTGGGTGGCAAGAGTTGTTTTTCTCATACAAATCCTTCTAATTTCCGGCGGCCGTTGCAGTCTCTGAAAAACTTACAGGTTAGCTAATTTTAATATGCTCTTTCAGCTTGTGCTAACAAAATTTTTCAAAAGCGAACTGTTTTAGTGTTTACCGCAAGTTGATAACGTGATCAACTAATGCAAAAGGCCTACCAGTTGGTACAAATACCGGACTATCTGGTTCATTACGATGTTTTCATGAATATAATTTTAAAACACTTAAGTAGACGCATACTTTTTCACTCCAGGCAATGAAAAAACTTTGTACCGTACTCATTAATATAACCTAACAGGATAAAATTACATTTAAACGGCAAAATATTAAATTTCTTACTCTAATCACCTCACAGTCTTATCTTGTTTTATCAATATTTTAATACATAGTGGTTTTTCAAATTTCGGTGGAAAAACTTTTTTTTTTACATCTTAACCTGAGCTTTTTTCTCAACAGGTTCAAGCTTGGTATTTATGTTGTCAACAAGCGAAAAATTGACAACGTTCAAAGAAGGAAATCTCTCGCATAACTCCGTCTCAACCCGTTTTTGAAACTTCTTATCAACAACAGTTCCATTTATATCTAAGACTTCCAAGACGGTGGATGGTGCGTCACTGACAGATAAAACATTTAAAAATTCATGGGCACCGGAATTTCTTATCAAATTCTGACCTATACGAAGAACTTTCAAGTTGGAGTTATTAATAACCCCTTTGGGAAGGAAGCTTGCAGCTTGAGTTGTAAATAGATTCCCACAGGCTGAAATTTCGATAAGACTTTGGTTTTGAGCCATCACTTCACCAAGAATTTCAGCTCCTACGTCATATAAGTAATTCCAAGAAATGTTTAAGGTACGAAGAGTTGCGCTATTTCGTAAACCGGGCGACATGGCTTGCAAGCCCGATACTTCCAACTGATTAGAACTGATGGAAAGCTTTTCAAGAACAAAGTTTTTCTCTAAAACGACCGACATCTGTTCTGCAAATTGATCGCATAAAATGTTATGAGATAAGTCTAAATCTTCTAAACCACTTTTAAGGCAAAGAGAATGAAGAAGAAACTCAACATCTTGGTCAGTTAAATCGTTTCTTGAGAGATTCAACTTTTGTAAAGTTTCGTTCTTGTTTAGCATCTCACCAATAGCGGAAATTGCACTTTGTCCAAGCACATTTCCAGACAAATCAAGCTCTCTCATAGAAAGATTCGTCTCCAGGCCTTTGGCAACAGCTTTTCCCCCTTCATTACCGAGACGGTTATTGGCAAGGAACAAGCGTACAATAGTCGAGGAAGAAAAATACTCGGTTGCAATTTCACGCGAGGTTACTGGCCCAAGATGCCAACCATTCAAATCGACTTCTTCGTCAAAACGATGCTGCTTAAAGTACTCCAACGGGTTGGATTTTCCACTCTGGGCATCCATCACTCTTTTTACTGTTGTATGAACATCTTTTTCTTGGATTTCGCTTGTTTTTGACTTTTCATCTAATTCCTTTTGAGCGTTCAAGACTCTATTTTTGGCGCCCCAAATTAGTCGCGCTTGACTCGTAACCTTGGGGACTGTTTCAACAGTTGGAACGACTCGAAAACTAGGATCTTCCATTACATTCACTTGAAGTTTGTTCCACCGGAGAAATAAATGTCGATTAACTCCAGCTGGCGTACTGTCTATTCTTTTAGATGAAGCCATTAACAAGAAATTTTACAGCAATTAACAATAATTATTCTGTCGAAATTTGAAGCAGTGAAGGAATCTAATCGACACGGTGTGAAAATATAGTTTCGTAAGAAACACCTGAGTTGCGCTATGCGGCAAAGTTAATGAGACTAAAAGTACTGTTCCTTTCTTCCTATTATCTTTAAACTAAAATCGCCATTGGCTTAAGTATCAAAAGTGTTCAATAAATTATTTGCGGGAATTTCGTTGATAATAACCAAGGAAACTGATGAAAATATACGATGAATTGCACACCGTCAATTATTAACTTAATCTCAAAAGAGGGGAAAATTTCTAGTTATCTACCAAAGATTAATCGGACAGTGTAATTCATTAAATTGGATTTAAAATGATGGGAAATTCAATGTTTAAATGAAGCACTGTTTTAAAAATTAACACAATCTATTTTGATTTTACGAGGTCGGCGCTATTTCCTCGTTTTTGAACAATCTTGTGGTTAAAATTCTGT